GGGCAGACCAAGGTACGGTGTTTGTTTCCTGACCTGGTGTTAGAACAATTTTTGGAAATAATGCAGTGGCATCAGATGAATGAAACACTACTGAACCACAGCATGACACAGAAGCATGACAGATGTTGGAGAAGGGAAGGTGTCTGTCAGACTTGGAAGGTGGGAGCTCAACATCCCGTAGTTACAAGAGAGCTGTGTGAAAACCAAACCTTTCTCCTGAAAGTAAACCCATGCAGTGTTTGTTACTGCAATGCTTGTGTCTCTCAGTCAGTCCTCATGAGTACCTGATGCTGGGGGAGGGAGGCAGGAGGAGGAACTACAGACAGCTGTACTGCTCAGTGTACCGACCACTGTATATCTCACTACCAGTCTTCCAAAATCATCTGTCTGGGTCCCCCAGCTGTGTGCAATTGTAATGCCACAATGCACGCTCCCCTCCCTTCCCCTGTCACACAAGTTTCAGGTGAGGAGGGGCATATGCCCCTAGCTCTGCCTTTTACTTGATACTCTCAGAATTAAATCTGTGTAATGCCAGACTATGAGACGTGTTAATGGTGCCGCTTACAGTCATCACCTTTTTTTGTTAAACATTATAGTTTCTAATTTGTAACCTAATTCTTTTTATTTTGTTTATTTTAGCTTTAATATGTAAGCAATTTTTATACTCTTCAGCTGCATCAACAAGAGAGATCTTTGTTCAGGTCTTGTATAATACAGCATGGAGAAGAAACAGGGCTTCCAATGAGAAAAGGGATTTAATAATTTACACATTAGATCTTTAAAACCATAGCCAATCTAGGCCCAGTTGTGCTGGGGGTTTTACAAATACATAGCAAATTGCCGCTGGCATGCAGTCTAAGCAAACACACAGGCTGACAGGAGAATAGTGGGCTGCCACTGAATTGGGAATGTCAGATAGGATGTCTTATTTGGAGCTAGTCACAAGAGCAAGCAGAGTTCAGTCATCTCACTTTGGGCTGTGCTGAACTAAAAGAGATTTGTTGAGTAAAGAAATCACAAATCTCTGTAAAAGAGCAAGTGTTTTTTTCATCTGTGTCATATGCAATAATTGGGAACCAATGCCTTCAACTGCACTGCAATGTCCCCATCATTGTTGCACAATGAAACCATCCCCAGCCTGGGCAATGATTTTTGTTCCTGATCTGGACACAGGGATGAGGCAGAAGCTCTGTTTATTACGTAGCAACTAAAAAGCACTCTGAACCAAGTCCTCCAGGTGAACTGGAGGTGAATAAAGTCTGCTGTTCTGCAGAGAAGGCCTGTAACTTGTGATGCTCTGCTGAAGCTGTGCAATGAGGATCTGACCCAGAAGCAGACCCTCTAAAATGTGTCAAGGTTATCGTGTTCTCCAGTAGTTAATTTTCATTGTCAGTGGTCAGTGAAAGAAATCAACATTGAATCAGTAAGTTCACCAGCAACAATAATGTCTACAGAGGGCTTTCTTGTCTTCTTGATAAAATATGATTGATAAAAAGTTAGCAACATTTTTTTTAGAACAGTGACATTTTTAACTTTCTGGTTGTTTTGGCACATTTTTTGTTTTGTTTTGTTTTGATTTTTGTTTGTTTGGGGGTTTTGGTTTGGTTTTTTTTTTTTTTGGGGGGGGTTTCTTTTGGGCTAGGTTTTTGTTGTTCTTGTTTGTTTGATTGTTTTTTTTTTTTTTGTTTTCTTTTGTTTTTCCTTTTTCTTCTTAACACTAAAGGAGACACAGTTGCAGCCAGGAAAAAAAACAGGACAATTCTATCATAAAATACACTCCTTATTTTGAAAACTATTTATTTTAAGTATAAAAGAGATAGTAGGTCTGTGGCTTGTTTATAGGACTAAGCATAAACGTTTTGCCTTGTGCTTTGCTCCCAATGCCCTTTAGCTCCCTCTGTGGCAATGGACAGCTCTTTGTGCTTAGGCTGCCCTTGAATGTCAGCTGTAAAGCAGGACTAGTGCTTTCACGTAAAGGCAACACGAGAATTAGTTGAGTTAAATTCTACTCTCAGGTGTAGCCAAACAATTCCCTGAGCAGATCAGGAATAATGAACATCCATCTGGGAAGAACAAACTCAGCAAAGGCTTTTTATGTGGAAAGTGCTTTGAATATAAAGAGTCAGATAAATGCTGAGCGTCATTGTATCTATAGCCGACTAAAAGGCATTCTGTGACTATATAGAAAGCCTGAACATTAAGAAAGTAATTTGCAGTGTCATGGCAAATGAGCTAACTTCCTACAATACTTTCAGACAAATGCATTGACCTCCTCCATCTTGCCCATTCACTTCATTCTGTGTTCTCAATGGCTGTGCAAGGGAAAGGACGGAGCAGCCCTGTGTGCATGCTGCAACTTGCTCAGCATCTTCTGGACCTCATCAATGATATTTCTGAAATAGATCTCCCCACATTCTGTATAGAATACAAGGGAGTTTTGGAAGACTTTTACCACTTCACAACTTAGGAAAGTCAAATATGATGTCATAAAATCCACCCTGTGAGCTCTTGTTTTATGCTGAAACTGCCTATAACTTTGTGAGACATGCATATTAGCAGATGAATTAGATTCTACATAGAGTGGCCAAATACCTCCTGTCTCTGGAAAAGAATGTCAGAATTCTCTTTTGATACAAATGGCCCTAATGACCCATGTGTAGTGGTAAATACTGTTCCACATTAAGTTGTTTTTTATTGTTTTGGTACACTAACTTGATTTAATATGCAGCAGACATGCAAATGGAACAAGTTCAATAGTATTTTGAAATATGAGGTCTCAACTTTAGGTCTTGTATTTCAAGGTGCTGGTTGGAGGCGTGGGGAATTTTGTTTCTCCTAACAGAAACTGAAGTCAAAACTAAGTTGCAAGAGGATTGTCACCTAACAAAGAGTAACATACGTGGAAAGCTATTAGTAAGAAAGTGGTAGCAAGCAAAGAGAAATTTACTGAAATTCCAAAGATGCCTCAAGCATTTATATACTCCATGGTTCTACAAGGACAGCATTTTGCATATCAACACATAGAGAGAGAGTATTGTAAAAAGCAGGTGTTGCAAAACAGGCTGGAATGCTTTAACCTGTATATGCAGTGAATGTCATTAGAAAGTGTGCGTGTGTGCAAATGTGTCTGTGTCCATGTATAATATTAACTACCTCACTCTGCATTTTCCAGGAAAAATGTTTTGGCTTAGACATTTACTACTTAATCTATTATCAACTTAATATTAAGGCTGACAAAGTATTTTTTTTTGTATGAGGCAAGATTTGAAATGACAAAAAAAAGATTTAGTAAAATACATATTTCAGGATATGGATGAAATTTTATCCAAAACACGTTGCCTAAATTATGCTTGTAATGTGAACCTTGTGAGATCAGATGTTGGGGTTAATAGACAATGAATGCAAACATAGTGTTTAATTTTTATTTTTCAATGGGTTTCTATTCATGTGTGTCTTCTCTGGAAAATAATACAATGCCACTAATCAAAGTGAAGTGTTTGTATGTACGTTTCCCTTACAGTCCTCATTATGTTATGTGTTTTGTTGAAGTACGCCAACATGTAAGTGTATTTGTACAGCGGTGAGTCCACTGTATTGTATCCATGTCAAAAATAAAAACAATACAACAAAGCCAGCTCTTCAAATCTAACAACGTGTATTTTGGATAGAAGCAGGGGGCAGAAAAGCAACTTAAAAACTTGTAAAAGCAACTGTGTTGTTACAGCGCCTGAACAGCTGTACCGAGGACCACGTTTTGCTGCCCTTGCTGAAGTGGAGGAGCTCTTTGCTCCAGGAGCTCTTCCCTTGGACTACCACTATGCAATGCACAAAACACACTGCTTGGAATCCTGCCTCATTGAAAGCAATGGCAAACTGCTTTGGAGTTTCATTTCAGCCAGAATTTTTTTAAACTAGTACAAAATACTTAGAGAAAAACTAACATTAGAACAAATTGTACAAATGCATAGTAAAAGCCAAATAAAATTGGAAGGAGCAAACAAAAATACTGGTAGTTCAAAGAGAAAAAAAAAGGGAGGGGAAGATGGAAGTAATTTGCAAAGAACTATGTTTGTTATAGATGCATATTAAAGTATGAAAAACACATTTGTCACTGATCAGTGATCTGGCCAGTTGATGAATGGATGTCCTTACTCGATTGGGATTGAGCAAATGTCTCGCAAACCTGGCTCAAGAACAACTACTGGAAGACTCATTTTAGAAACAGAGGCAGGCATGGTAAGAAAAGACAAAGATACAACTGCAGGCTGGCCTCAGAACTTGCCTCCCGGTGTCCGTAAGAAATACTGTTTTCCAAAGAATGATGCAATAGTTTGCATTGCCAAAATACTTAGGTTTTCCCAAATAAGACCCAAATTGTTTCTTCAGCAGCACATCACTTCACAGGCATCTCTGTGCTGTAGAGATACTGCTTATCCTGAAGCTGATTCCATGAAAGCATAAACAGGAGCATAATCTGTCTAGCCAATGTATCTATAATGAGTGTCAGAAGCACTGGATAGTCAGGCACAAGGAAAAGGAGCTGGAGCTACCCTGTGAAGTGTAACTAAGAAAATTCTATTCATTAAACTCTGAATCTGAGACCTTCAAAATTATGCCTTTAGTCAGTCTCCTGCTCCCTCTGCTGGACTATGTCCACTTATATTTCATATAATCACAGTCATAGAATGGCCCGGATTGGAAGAAGCCTTAAAGATGATCTAGTTCCAATGCCCCTGTAGTGGGCATACTTGTAACTTCTCAGCTTTTTTCTTCCAATACATGGAAGACTGAACTACATGAAATAATGCAGTTTATTGCAGTTTTATTATGTGGTCCAAAATTATTACCTTTTTATAAAACTGCCAACACACAATAAAATGAAATACTGTAAAGTAATCAAAATAAAACATACTGTAAACACTGATTAATAAAAATTCCCAAAAGAAAAATACCCAATTAATGCCATTAAAATTGTTGTAGAGGTATTTGTTGTTTAAAACCATTTAGTTAAAATGCAGACATGGAGCTTCTGATTAAAAAAAAAATAAATGACCTGAGTTGGAAAACAGCCAGAAAAATCAAATAGATGCAGGTTCTTATCAGTTCTTTTCATTACAAAATGCGAATGCAAAATAACAGATCAACAACAAAAAAACCGAAACCCTTTCTCAATCCAGACGGGCTTTGCTACAGTTCAGTGCTCAGCCCCAGGGCAGGAATGAGGAAATACTCCACGCAGGTCAAAAGCTCTGCTAAAGTCAAACAATTCTGTATGTTGGCCCTTGGTCAAAACAAGGTTCCTCAAACAGCCACGGAATGAGCTCTTGCTTGTGAGGCAGTTTTGCTTGACATCAGCTGAAAAACAAACGTGAAATATGTCAAATCTATTTCCCCCAAACTGAAAAAAAAATACAAAGATCCAGGTTGTTAAGATTATCCCCCTGTGAAATGAGAGATAAAACCAACACCAGAGGAGCATCAAGTTCCATTCAGGTTTGTATGAACTGTGACACCCCAACATGGACAGCTACTGCTCTTTTCAAGCGTAAGCCATGCACAGCAATAACTTGGCAGAGTTTGCAGAAGTAGTTCTTGCAGGGGATAATGGAAGATGAGAGGGAAAAACAGAGGAGAAAGCCACTCTGCATGGGTGTTTCTGAAGTTGAAATAGAAACTGGCAGAATATGAAGCAGCAGCTGAGCTACACAGTCACAATTCCCATGGCAAACCAAAAGGGAGCACACGTTAGTTAAGAGTCACTCTTGTGAGAGCGCAGGAGGGACAGAAGGGAAGGGAAATATTATTGTACCCACCAGGATAACCTCCAACATAAATGGGATTGTTCGTATCTGCAGATGTTGACTGGACATAGGGATTATCAGTGTGAACCAAATTCCCATCAATTATCAGTGAAATGTGATGTTTGCTTTTGTTTGCTTGAAGCTTGTGCCATTTCCCATCACACAAGCCATTTGTGCCTCTTGGTTCATAGGAAGCTGTTATTCTGCCAGCTCCATTGTTGACATGGAATAAAACCTGTACAAACAGCCAGATGCCAATGAAGATACAAAGTAAGAATAGATGAACTAATCTGCCTAGATAAAAGCACAATCACACTGGTGCAGAGATTTCCATTTTAAATGTTTGGCAGTATGCACGGTTAATGTTTACTTTGATGGGTAGAGTAGATCTTTATTAAAATGTCTTTTAAAATTTAAAACAATAAGGTCTACCTATGCAATGGTGCATTGATACACTTCACTAGGGATTTCAATTTTTCTTACAAATACAAATCAAGACGTGTTTCACAGAACCTGAGACTTCAGATCTGAAAGAAGAATCTCTGTATATAACTGAAGAGAAAGAAGAATGCCCTGAAAGCACTTGTCATTGCCAATAAATGTATTGATTTTTTTCATGTATTTATTTTTCAAAGCAGCAGACATTTCCACAACTCTGTGGTAAGGATTAATATGCAAGTATTAACTGGGAAAGCATGTCCCACAGAAACAGTGATATTTAACACTGTCTCCAGCTAGGAAGCTTTGAATAAAAAATGAGCTATTTCTGCAAAAACAAATACTTAAGAGCAATCAAGTGTATATTATTCTATGCAAGAGATGACTGGAGAACTATGTATATTGATTGTTAAAAGGTTTATGGAGCATAATGGCCAGTAGAAGTAGAGGATGAGTTAATTGCTCATGAATATTGAAGAAGAGGTTACAAAACAGTGTGCATTGTATATGCAATATTTTTCTCAAGGACAAGAATAGCTTTATGGCAGAAAAAGTATTAAGCAATAAAAAAGATATATGTTTGGTCTAGAATACAAGGTATGTAGTACAGGAGGTCAGAGTAACGTAAATTACACTAATAAAAAATGCAAAAAGTTCCAGTGACTTCTGCTAATCGCACATTTTATCATACAATGGCAATGAGAAACCTTGAGACAAAGTCTGTCCTGTATTTGTTCTGTGGAAAGCTGCCTCCATCACACTTCACTGGTGCATATTTCATGCATTCCAGGGGTTCTATCCTCTCAGTTTCAAACAAGCCCTGTGAAATCAGTGTGCCTGCACAGGGCAGCCTACCTTGCCATGTACAATTTCCAGCCCAATCGCATCCACCTTGGCGCTGCTGACGCCGAGCAGAACGCCGTGCACCGCTGTTGTGCGGAACTCCAGGGAGATGTTCACGTCAGAGCGCACTTTGTAGCCTTCTCTGACTGAAAATAAGTTAGAAGCTTCTAGCAGAAGACTTGCAACCCACAGTGCAGAGTAAAATACATGCATTACCATTAAAGGGTCTAAAAAACTTGTTAATTATGCTGCTGGCATATGACCTTGCAAAACCTCTGGAAAATAAGTTTTCCAAAGTCATAATTTCCATTTTTTACTGGAATAGATAAATTCCCAAATAAGTTTTTTTTTCATTAATTCAGATTTAATCCATTCTATCTCATCTGTATGAAATAGTAAAGAGCACAAATGTAATCCTTCATGTTACTTCACAAGTCTTTTGTCTTCATATTCTTTAACAGATCTTGACATCATGAACATGGATATTCTTAGCTAATAAAGATGTAGTTCATTTCTTCCCCAGTGCTAAAACCATTATCTCTTTTATTTGTGCAAGATAGCCCTTTGCAGAAATGACCACTTTTGGATGAATGAAGTAAAAGGACTCAGAAATCCATATGCAGGGCATGCACTCACTGTGTGAGGAGTCAGTTAATTACACACAGTTCCAGTAAGACCTGAAAGGAGTATGTTTTCATTAATATTAATTCAGTAAGGCACTGTTTTCATTTAATGACACTTACCAAGAGCAGCAAAACCACTTCCATCAAAGAAAGTACCATCCTGCACTGTTTCATAGCATTTATTCACAGCAAAGATAGAGACAGGACTCTCGTTGTCCAGTTGTTTGCCATTAATTGTCATGCTACCAATGCAGGCAGGAATACTGTGAGTAACCTAAGCATATGGAGACATAAGAGACAATGTTTAGTACAAACTGCTGTGGTGCTTTATTAGGGATTCACCTGATCTTATTGTAGATTAAATATTATCTGAACAAAACACAGCAGAATCTAAAATACTTCCATAATTAAATTTCTGGTATTACATATCATTATGTAAGGCACATAAGTCTTAGAGTCAAAATCAAATAGTTTAGAAGAAGAGTATACACTGCCTATAAAATACAGGAAGAATTATATTTGTTTGACCATAAGCAGGGATACACCCAACAGTAAAAACATTCCAAACATGCTTTAGCAAATTAATGAGTAATCAAAATTTTCGTAGGACATTTTGCAAGTTCTCTTCATCAAAAATATTCATCTGAATCACTCCAGAGGGTGGCTGGGCACTGGAAGAGGTTCCTCAGGGAAGTGGTCACAGCACAAGCCTGACAGAGTTCAATAAGAATTTGGACAATGCTCTCAGGCACAAGGTGTGACTCTTGTGATGTCCTGTGCAGGGCCAGGACTTGGACTTTGATGATCCTTGAGGATCCCTTCCAAATCAGGACATTCTACAATTCTATGAGAACCATTATCATATCACCGGAATCCTCATGAATATAATGGGCTGCACAAGGAGGAAGATGACAAAACCTACCCTCTAAAAGCATGTATTAAAAAATATGCTTTAATCTAAAGACAGCTAAACCCAGTCTTTCAGAGATATTTAAGGCACCTAATTTCTGTTTGAATGCAGTAGCAGTCAGGTACCAAAATGTCTGAGATTGTAGGTCATGTTTTTACCTTATACTGCGAAAGAAATGAATTTAGATTCTTTATTCATTTTTAACAGAGAAACAGAATGAAAAAATAAAGTTCTGTTAAGGGCTATTACTAACACACAAGGATATAAGCTGTAGCTGGACTCATTAAGCCATAGAAAGCTAGAAAGATTTATCTGGTGAAGAGTCATTACTTTCCTTGTTGCTTCTTTCCCTAAGTACTTCTTTTTAGCCTGTCAGAGACAGGATGCTGATTTAGATGAGTTTGCTGCACTGTGATCATTCTAGTCTTGCAAAATGCCAGAGGCACCCCCCACAACCTTCTTACATTCCCAAGATTCTTTGGTACGTAGTCTAAGGGGAGTCCTCCCACATAGAGCTTCCCCTCCACATCCAAGGTGCTACCATCTCCCAGAGCATTGACTGCTACCAGTTCCTGTCCATCCACAATGATTGTGCCTTTTCTTTTAACATATTCCGTCTTTACCTGGAAAAAAGGGAAGCATGCGAACATAAATGAGTAAGCTAAATTTGTTACCTAGTCATCATTTGTCATAGAAATAAGCAAGACAATTGTTTAGTGGTTCAATTGCTTTGACATTCTGTTCTGAGGCAACCTCCTGAAATTCTTCCTGAGGCTGAGACTATTTCTGAATACAACTGAGCAGTTAAACAGCTTTCTTGCCTTCCCAAGGGCTCACAATGATTTCATAATGTCCTGCCTAAGGTTTTTAGTGTTTTATTATTTCTTTAAATCACCAGTTTATTGCCTTAGGATATGGGCAGGTCACTGAGTTTGGAAGGCATTCTGTGCTGGCCTCCTGCAATTATTGTGCTGCCCAACAGCTGAGCCATCTCAGCTCTCTGAAGTGTACATTCCTGTGTTGTCATTTTATGATAGGCAGTGCTATGTTTGTTGTGACCAAAAAGCTTTCAAGTTCTGTCCATCTTGTCCTTATACCTGCCTGCCCTAAAACAATTACTCACACGTGCTGAGGGAAGTCAGCTAGCCATTTATATTTTTCTCTATTTACTTTTAGCCCCACTCAGAATCACGACTAGGTTCAACATGAAGTTTCAGGAACATTTGGGCTGGTAAGGGGATAAAGGGGTAAGGCAGGGTGGTATGAGCAGAGGGGAGAGAATGAAAAGAAGTGATGTTTCTTTCAGTAGCAATGCATATTAGTTTGCATAGATTGCAGAGGGACTGCAATGATCACCCCCAGCTGGGAAGTGGTGTGACTCAGCCTTAATCTCTGAAGAAGGCTGAAGCTCCTGCTTTGTGTCCTGGGTAGTAAAGATAGGTCAGGTCTTCTATGGAATCTGTTCAGCTCTTAAAATGTGGATAATGTCAGAGTTTTATGTAAGTATGTGTAATTTTTAAACATGCAGCTGTAAGTCCTGGAGCATTCTTCCTTTCAAGGTAGGCAGCAGAGTTTAACTGTGATATCTCTGATAGAAGTTCACATTTCCTTTCTTCATGTTAATTTTTGCTGTTTTTTCTTCTGCTGATTATTTATGAAAAGCAAAAAGAACTCTGCTGATTCCCAAGGCACCTAGAAAAGTGGGCAGCTTTGTATCATCAATCATTTTGTCCCACAGAAGCCACTTCCTAGAGTGAAGGCTTCACATATGGATAAGGGAGGGTAAACTTAGCAGGATGAACATTGTCATCCTCACCTGCCTTTAGGAAAATTGATATCCTCAGAGTTACTTCTAAAACTCCTGCAAACATCACAGTCACTTCTCACACAGAAAGCCAGAGCCACTAGCAGGTGGCTTGCTCAGAGGAATTGGGCCAACAGAGACTGACACAATCTTTGTGCAGAAGGCCCTGAGTGCTATGTGACACCTCCAAGCTGTAGACATAATTTCTCCTCAGCTCTACTTAAGACAAGTCCTCCATTCATTTCAAATGTCCCCCTTTCTCATGTTGCCTCGACCAAGGAAAGGACAAAGTGCTTCCCTGTTGTCACTAGCTGCTGTGACATGCTCAGGCAATAAGCAGTAAGTGGGAGAAAAGAAAATGCCGCACCCACAAATTTCTGTCACACTGTCACACACTGAATGCAGGTCTTTGGTGGCATAATGCATTGAAAGCTCTCTGTGGAAAAGGTCAGATTTTTTTACACCTCTCCGTTAGGTCCTTCTCTGATAACTGTCACTACACAGCTGGTGAACTATTTAATTCCTAAGTAGTTTGAGATACTTGACAGCAGTTAGAAGACGGATTTGGTGTACAATTAATGACAATTTTAAAGGAAATAATTATCAAATAAAAGTTTTCTGAATGACTTCATGATTAGGTTAGAACCAGTGTGCTTTTGCAACACAGAAATTACACAGAAAAGGCAAGCAAAATCCATACCAGTACTTCCAGGGAAGAGAAAATGGAGCACAAGATTGGCAACCACCTACCGTATGCCATTTTCCATCACTGACAACAGCAGGGTGAAGAGCTACTGCTTTTCCTTTGCCTAAATCAAATGAGAAATGGAGCTGTCCCCCATAAAGCTGTAGGGCTGCATAATCAACCTGGTTTTGGTGAGCCATGTAGTAAATCAGGCCAGTGGAGGAAAAGGTTCTGAGATTCAGCTGGATGGAAAGTCTAGACAATAAAAACTCAGTGTTACTTAAAGGTATTTCTTCTGCAGTGATGAAAAGCTTTTCTGGACACAGAGAACAGCCTGAACCAATTTATTGTTATGAAAGGAGATTTATTATTACAAAGGCCAGAAAAGTAGAATTTGGGTTGATTTTAAGAAAGCATGACTTATAATGGATTTCGTAATGGAAATCAGTGCTGTACCTGTCAGAAGCAGAAAAAGTGCTTGTCAAAGAGTGAGATGAACTTTAAGAGGGACAGGCTCAGCTGTTTGTGACTGCAGGCTTACTTATTGCCCCTGGAAAGGAACCCATTCCAGGATAACTTTATGGCATCCATTATTATTAGCCAGGCTTGCTGGGATATTATGGGCAGACTGGGAACAGAGGGAGGCTAAAAGGTAGAGGAGATGAATGAGCCATTTATTATGGAGACACCAGGTTCAGACTACATGGCATCAATCCTCTCCAATGTCCTTTGCTCAGAAGCTGTAACAGAAGGGCTAGAGGGAAAAAACACTCTTTTCTCAACGCCTGCAAAGACTTCCTGAGCTGAAATAAGCAAATACAAGTGACTTGCAGGCTGTGTGATGGGGACCTTGTTGGGAGCCTCTCAAACAAGTAAAAGAGGCAGAGGCGCTATCACACATTAGGTCTCAACAACATGATTCTTCTTAGTAGTCTTTTCTCCTTCAAGTGCACCTTCAAACATAGAAGATGCACTTGCAGAAAATAGGGAGGAGAGGGTGACATGTCACCTGCATCAGGCAAAGGAGTAGGGACCAAATGTGAGCTCTGTATGTGGAAAAAAGGAATCAAAGTACTTCCAGAAGGCAGACTGAGACTCAAGTCTCACTCTACTTTCCTTCTGTAAGAGGAAAAAAAATACAGAATTCTGACCATGAGTTACTAAACTCATGATCATTAATGTGGGATATGATTTTCTTCCATGTGGAGCCCACAGAAACCTGAAGTGAGGACCATGCCCAAAGCTGGCAATGCAGCGATCAATCATGAAAACCATCACTGCACTTCTTGCAGGTCAGTGCAACATAACACTCTGTGCATGTGTAATTCTGGATATACTCACTTCTTCCTGACAGCAGACTGATTGAAGAGCAGGGTCAAGTGGCTGCCTTTGGCAAGTCCAAACTGATGAGCACCTTGAACATGACCAGGCAGCTCATCTTTTGCACAAACTACCTGTTAATGAAAGGAATTTATTAAGTAGGATAATGTCAGGTTCTGCCCAGCAGCTGTTAAATGACACTGTGTCTGCACAGAGCTTTGCAGGAAGCAAAACTAAGCCACAAGGTAACTACAAAGTACACAGCAAAACATCAATTAACTAAACTCATAATCATTCCAACCTATCTTCACACTCAAAAAGAACTGGTTCTAATGTTTAAGCTATGTCTTGTAGACAGCACTGACCTTTTCTACTGAGAAATATTTGTCGTTTGAGACATATTCAATTAGCTTTTTGTCTTAATTGCCAGCCTTTTTGATAACAAACACTGGAAATACAATTTCAGTGTGAAAATCTTATAGGTTTGGTAGAAATATTTTCCCATTTTATGAGGACACATATTTTTGTTATGATTTGGGGTATGGAGAGCTGAGTAACAGAGCATGAGCCAAAGCTACACTTTAGCTCTAAAAAGGACAACTTATTTCTTTTTATAGTCCTGAGTTTTATGCATAAAATCTTGCCTTCAGTTGCCACAGGAAAACGGTTTCAGGATACTTTGGCAACCCTTCATTATAAAGATGTGCAGCTGCAGGAGGAGATGCTGCTTTCTCTCTTGGGAACAGGGGCTGTGTGAGAGGAAACAGGTGCCATGCAAGCTGCACTCAGACACTGTGGGTCTCTCAAGTGGTTTGTTCCTCCTCTCTGACACAGAGCAGAGACTGCATGTGTGTGACCAAGAAAATGTGAATGCAGAACTGCACAACTAATGCAAATCTGCACCAAGTCCCTTTGGCAGGAATACACTAAAGATAACAGTTACTGTCAAGACCTTCTGTTGGGAGATTATCATTCCACCTTTTTTTTTTCACATTTTTTTTTCTTTTGTTGTTGCTGTTGCTGCCCGAAGAGTGATAAACCTAACTACTTTTCCATTCCAAATGGCCAAGAGGCTGCTGCAAAGGTATCAGTTTTTCTATAGGCAACAATAATTTCAAATCAACATCCATTGAACCATTCCATACTGCAGAGGAAGCAAATATATGTAGCTATAATTTGAAAATTCTCCACAAAGACACTAAAAAAGAGGTGGCAACAGAGCTTTGCTTCAATACCTACTTTTTTTGTGTCTGTGAGAGGTCTCAGGGGAACTGGTAAAGCCTGAAGTTCAGGTTGAATCACAATGTCTGATGGTTGTAGAGCTGTTTTAGGCTTCTCTGACAGAAAGCAGCTGTCCATATCCACATGCTCATACTTCATGGAAGTGGTAAAATATAAAAGCCTGCATTTAAAAAAAAAAAACAAAAAAAAAAAAAAAACCCACATTTTAAGAGGTGCATGTCTGCTTATTTCCAAAGCAGAAGGAGAGTCTTTTACAAGGTCTTTCAGCAGTACCAGGATAAGAGAAACGAAGTGGCATCAGTGACAAACAGATTGAGAAGCACCAAATAATCAGTCCATAGAACAATATAAATCTACAATATTTCTGGAAAACCATTCTGTCTGTCACTGATGATGAAGTTATAGTAGAGAAAGCTGTGCTTTGTGCAGCATCTCCATAAAAATTAAAGACATTTCTAATACTATTTAGAAATATAGCTGGTAATATCCATTTTCTGGCTGTTATAATACCCATTTTCTGGCCAGATCATGAGCATCATGCATATCTTATGTAAAAAAACAGGCAAACAGAAGTGTCATGGAAGAGATCACAAACTATATTTAATAATTACTATACACAGTTTCCCAAAATGAGGCAGTTACCCTTCTGACTTACTCCTTGTTAAAAATAAGGTTGCTGATACAGCCATGAAAGGAGCCAGCCAATTTTAGCCCTAAAATGCCCTCTCCTGCTGGAATGCCACCAGCATAGAAGTTGGAAATATTAATGGGGCTATTTTCTGCTGCTGAACCAAGCCTCAATTCTGCAGGTTTACTTTCATCCACCTGTACAGTTATGATCCTGAAAAAGATAAAGCAGGAAAAACATTCAACAAGGTCTTAGAGAGTCATTTTCAGATGAAAAGCATTCCTATCAGCCTCAAGAACATCCTCTTCTAATAAATAAAGGTTCCATCACTTTGATAATCCTTTCACTGTCTTAAAACTGGAAGCCCTTATTTTGATGATTTTTAAAATGTAAAGTTTTGACAAATATCTTTCTAAGTTATTTTGATAGCTGTGTATCTTTCCTCTAATACTATTTAGTATGCTTTGTACTCAAGTGCCCCAAGCTGTTCTAGAGATTTTTGAGAGCTTTTAGCTACACCTCTATCAGTGGCTTTATGCTGTATGCAATTACCATGTAAATCAGAACATCTGCATTGACAGCAGAAAAACACAGCCCTGATTATCCCACCTAATAAGCTAGCAAAGGCAACTCCTCAGAGTGCAGTGAACTGACAACAACGTGCAATAATTAAACAGGTAGTACTCTTTGCAGTCACTTGTACCTCTTATTCCGAATTAGGATGACAGAGTGTTCTTGTCCATCACTGTATGTTCCATTAGCAGACTGAAGAACTACTTTCCTAGTACTTGCTCTGTCTCCAGCATTAACATGCACTGCAAGATGACCATCAATCAGCATGATGGAAAAGAAGGGCTGTAGATTTAATCAGAGGATTAATTTTTAACTGTAGCTCAATTTTCAAGACGCTAATATAGTGTTTAAATAGAACATACATGGGAAATATTTACCTCCAAGCTTGTTGCAAAATTTTCAATGAAACTCAAAGACTAGTAGGAATTGTATTGGTACCTCTCAGAGTGCAAAGCCCTCTAACAGCAGACACAAAAGCTGGACATTTCTCTGGTCAAACTAACTCTCAGTAAAGTGCAGGAGGTTTTTTTATACACCCACACCCTCCTTGTCTTAGAGGAGGAAATAGTAATATTTTCTCTTTGGATTCTAGAAGCTCCAACTGTCCATCAGATACACAATATACATAGCAATCTGACTTGATTTTACAACATAAAAATGGCAAAAATAATCCCTAAAATTTCTTTGTTTTCTGTACTTGCCAAGTGTGCTTGTCTTCGTTGTCGCTTTTCCAGTCCCCTGCTGAGTCCAGCAAGGATGATGCCACTGCTGTTCTTTGTAGCAAAAGTTGCCATCAGTTCTGACTCTGGGCTTAAGGACTTAGGTACCAACTCAATATATCCATTGTTCATGATGCTCACGCTATGAATAGGCTATTTTATGAAGAACAGAAATAATTACTGAATTTATCCATACACAGTGTCAGGTAAGAAAAAAAAATCAAATATAGATTAGATTATCTTATAATTTTTAAAGATAAATCTGTTTCAACTCACTGTAAACACCACTATTCACTATTCTATTAAAATAAAGATCAGATCATAAGACTTTAAAGTCTCCTACCTCCAATACACAGCCTTTTCTTACTCCATATGAATTTCTAAGCAAGTCAAAGGTGGAACGAGATATTTCCAGATTCTTGATGCATCCCACATACATTCTACTATTAAGACCTTTCCTGAAACACAAAATAAGGCTTTCTTTCCAAGGAGTAGTACTTGAAATCTCCTGGGAGAAAAGATTAAGTTCTCTTCAATAAGAAAAGAAAGAGATCTGTTTTAAAGGATGCAGTCAGGCTGGTGTAAGTGAAAAGAGTTTAAGTTTTACTCTCAGATACTTAAAAAGAGTCAAAATAATGTTGTGCCCAAATTAAAACATACAAATGTGTAATGCTGTGCTGTGAGGTCAGGTAATTTCCCTAAACTTTAAGGTGAATCCTCTGCTGAAAGAAAATGGATTGCGTGAAAGGGTAACTGTAGCTGTCTACTATGCAGTTTTTCAGTTTTCAAGTCTGGAGGATGCCTGATTTTGTTCCTGGTTTAAGGCTGAGAAATCTAAGGCTATCCTGCCATAATCCCTTAAAGGCTGGAATGCCAGCTAAGATTAACAAGTCTGCACTCTGTAATAACTGTGCAGAGACCAATAATGTACTCGAATTTACGTTATTGTCAAGAGCATGCAGAAAGTTTAATCAGATTTTCTCTTGCCATATTTATTCTTTCACAGTGAAGCCAGTGGAAGGAATGTGACTTTGCAAGTTCAGTACAGATGTGCAATACAAAAAACTCCCATAAACTAGAGACATGCTATAAAATAAGTATTTGCAATGTTTTCTGTTGATCTGTTCACAGTTGGTTTTCCTCTGTTCCAAGTTACTGAATTACAGGAATTCTGAAGTACAGCTTTTATCCTTAAGTGTAGTTTTGCCAATAAATGCCATCTGGAAAACATAAGGCTCACACAGGTAGAGATCAAAGGAGCATCACTGCAGACAGCAGCGCTGGATGCTTGCCCCAAAGAGCAGGGGGTGCTGCTGTGGCAGCTGCTGTGGTAGAAATCACCCTTGGAGGAAGAAAACAAAATTATTTGTGATCTGAATTACAGCATCAGACCTAATAGTGGAAAGCAACATATCAGAGTTTGAAGTCAAAGGACAGATGTAGTATACATGGCCATAAACTAAACTTCAGCATTCACTGTTTTTCTCTAATTTCAGAGGAAATAAGAGTGTGTAAAAGTTTTCCCCTCACCTTACAAGAGTCTTAGCAAAGGTGTAAAAGTGAGACACTTTACCTCAAAGCCCTCGATCTTGGCAGCCCACCAATGAAGATTGGGTCCTTATCAGAGCGGTTCAGGTCTGAGGCAACTCCAGGAGATTCTCCTTGCTTGGTTTCTTTATAATTAAGGTTATATGCATCCATGACTGTCAAAATTCCTGCAAAGAAAAGAGTCAATTCCTGGAGAAGGACATGAATACACATTCTTCCCTTCTGGCAATCTCATCTGTAATAAAGGAAAATGTATTCATTGACTCGGACATGTATGGACAATCTTCTTATTTTTAGAATGAGCAATTTACTGTACTTCCAGCTATTCTGTTAATCTCATTCATTCCTCTCTGCCAAAACCAAATCTGGAGAAGTCTAAAGGAAAATAGATACATATGAAAATATGTTATAACTATTAGCACATATTTGTTATTGCCGAAACACAGGCTCCCACAAAACAGATGTACTAAGTAATATTAAAATGCAGAAGAGAAAATATGATCCCTCATCTACAGACTCAGACAAAAATCTTTCAGTCTTTAAAGACTGTTGGTATGTTTTTGTGCAGCAGTTTCTACACTCTACCTGCTCTTCGTGAGATGTGATAAACCAAGCACAAGATTTACACCGTAGTCTTTCTAGAAGCAAAGTACCATAGGTGTGACTCCTAAGACACTGCATTGGAGGTGATCAGATTTGGTTGCAGTGATGTTCCCTGCAGCTGTCTTAGATATTTGTATTTGTAAATGTGCAAACACCCGAACTTCTCAATCTGTAGCCTACCTTGCTTCTTGTTCCGATTGAATGAGATTTTATACCACGTTCCGTTGTTATAACGATTTTCTGTTGTAAGGGCAAGGGGTCCTGAACCAAGATCAACAGTCACCCTCACTTTGCCATCAACAAGCTCAAGGGATAAGAAGTCTCTCTGAGAGGAAGGAAAAAAAAAAACCCCAAACAAAAACAGATTACAAACAAACAGATTACATTCTTGGAAGTAAAATCTTCCTAAAGAATGCATGCCTGGGAGGTTTGGCCTGCTGTGTGGAAAAGTTTTAGTAACTCTTGTACCTGGACTATTTGTTAGGCCCAAGATGCTCATCTTCACTTTATTTAGGAAAATTAAGTTACAAGTACCTCACAAGGATGTATTTTTGTTTTGTTATTTCCCTTAAATGCATTGTGAGGTTTGATTACTCAGCAGAAGAATGGTTAAATAACAAAGTTACATTTTCCTGGTTTTGGATGAAGTTGAAAGTAATTTGATTTGACAGCATAATGATCGAACACTACAGTGTTCTTTCTGCAAGAAGTAAAGACCGTCCTCACAGAGTAAAAAAACCTTTCTGAATTGCATTGAAGGTTCCCCCTCTGAACTGTAAAGCTTAAATCAGATATTATTGTGCAATGTATTCAGGCAGTGAGTACATACAGCAAATGAATAATGCAGTGACTCTGAAAGAATCTGTACCCAAACAAAGCTTTTCCTTCCTTCAGGACCAGAAAACCACCATCTAAGTGCACAGTAAATTGCATGACATGAGAATGAAGGTCTGGTGATGGGTCTAGGTTATATTGCTTTTGCAGGAGTTTTATTTAATTTGTTTCAGTTTACTGAATTCCTATCTTATTGATTTAATTCAATATGGGTTTTCATTATTATATTGTCCTTCTGCAAGCTCAATTCCAAAACATTTTTACATTCTGAAAAGGTTCCTCCAACTGAAAAAACCAGTTTGTTGTCCTTACAGTTTCCTTTTCTATCCGCTAGCTAAGTAATCATTAATTTTAGTCTAAAATAATTTAATTTTGTTCTAAAATTTACATAAATTGTGAAGAATTCTTTTCATTGTTCAATTTTTCCCTTAGTTTAGGTGGATATTTGCTCTGAGTTGTCCTCTATGGTCCTTGTCTTTATTCCTTTAGCTTATGATGCCAATCACGGATGATGAACTACACAAAAGTAGTAATATGCTCTAATATATGTAAAAGCTGAATGACAGTTTAGGAATCTTATCCATTTTCTTACAGTGCCATTTGAAGAAAGATACAGAAGAAGCCCATTTGGTGAAAAGGTACTGAAAGATATTAATATCTGAGTCAATGTTGAGCGAAGTGCCTTCTCCACCACTGAGTATCCACTGCCATCAAAATGGAATGAAGTGTCCTCATCCTGTGGGCTACAGAAGTGGAAAACCAGTATTAAAATGCTAACTGAACACTTGCTTTTTCCCAGTAACTTTTACATAAAATATAAGAAAAGTTAGGTCATAGAATAGTTTGGGTTGGGGGGGACCTTAAAGCCCATTCCACCCCCTGCCACGTGAGGGACACCTTCCACTAGACCAGGCTGCTCAGAGCCACATCCAACCTGGCCTTGAACACTTCCAGGAATGGGACATCCACAACTTCTCCGGGCAACCTCTTCCAGCATCTCACCAACCTCACAGTAAAGACTTTCCTCCTAACATCTAATCTATACCTACTCTCTTTCAGCTGGAATCCATTACCCCTTGTCCTGTCACTCCATGCCCCTGTAAATAGTCTCTCTCCATCTTTCTGGTTGGCTCCCTTCAGGTACTGCTCAGTCAGTGCAGCCTCCAGGCAGTAATTTATAAAGTGTGGGGAAACACTCAAATCTTGATGTAATGAATAACTGAAGGATTCCAGCCAACGGCCACTTTCATTAACCTCACAACACACAATTTAGCCATGGGGAAGGATGCACACAAGGTAAGTGTTCTTCCCTTATATGCAAAAATGAAAGCCAAACCCAGTGATTTCCTAAGGGAAAAATAATTGTTACAGCATACACCCTCTAAATTGAAACATGTCATCCATTTCTCAAAATGCTTTGCATAATTGCACTTACAGTACATGATCTATTAGCCCCTTTCCCTGAAGTACAAGACTTGCAAAAAATATCTCATACAATCAAGCAGCACCCTCTGCTGTTTCTGCATGAAATATTCTGCAAAGGGAATATAGACAAGCATATTTCTTTTTTATTCCTTAAACATAAAATAGTAGTCTGCAAAAGGCACCAAGCTCAGTGGCTACAGTTTTGCTATCAATTTTTTTATAAGACTGCTTTACACTGTTTCTTACCCTAGGAAAAAATAAATCTGTCTTACAGAAAACTACTGAAAAGCAAAGATTTCACAGTATTTTGGTTCACTGGTAGTCCCCATTTCCCATGCACAAAATAGAGAGCAGCAATAAAACCTCTCTAAAAAAGTGATTCAAAAATTGAAATTCCATACAAAGAAGTTATTTGATACCATTGACACATTGAGATTAATGTGCCTAGGACTGTGAGTTAATGATCAGCGAAACACTGCAATTTGTTTGAGCTCCATATGCTTAGTTAACACAAAAATATAATATTACAAATGTAAATTACTCTAAACAAGTTGAAAAAAAACCAGAAGAGAGTGAGACAAAATACCTTCCAAAACAGCCATTGCACTTGCCCTCTCTTTATATATATACACACACATGCACACATACGCTTACTAGTCTGTGAAAAATACTATCCCATGATAGTGTGCCACAAGGAACTAACAGCTGTGCACTTTTTGGGATTGCAGAGAGAATGAGGTGGAGAGCAATGTGGCCATCACATTCTCTTCTAAGTGGGTGGATGCTCCATGCTCATGAGGGCCAGCTTCAAGAAGTTTAGCTGTGTTAAAGCAGATCATTTGATGCACTCCAGCACGCTATATGCAAGTATCACAGGGGGTGTTACACTCCATGTGGTTAATGCACATCACAGGAAAAGGAAGGGGGAGTTTCAGCACAGGGCCAAGAGGCAGCGGCTAAGGAACCTGGTGCTTCCCTTGTCTACCCTTGAAAATCTCTGGAATCATCTAAGGCACAAAAATATTTCCACCCCTAGTGAACACATCTGTCTGCAAGGGGCCTCACTTGGTTACTTAGTTTGAAATCAAGTAAGAAATGCTGGAACCCTAGATGCTGAGAATTTTAAACTTTCTGTGCTGAGAGGCACAGACTCGCAAGAGAACACTGTATTTGACCTGAGGCTGTGGAGAAAGCTTCCAAAATTGATGAACAGCACTAAGATTATGAGTGTGTAGTTAGTTAGAATTGTATAACATCACAGAGTAGAAAACTTAGAGTTTGGTGTTTTAGAATATAGAAATAAATATGAAACAAGATGGAGGTTTTAAGGCAGAGACAAGTTGTTCTTCGTTACCTTCCTCCTCCTTCTTCTTCATGGGTTTGGGTGATACTTTGTAATTGAACAGAAAAGCGCACATTGAGGGCTTCAAGGGATCGGTTATTAGGTTAAAAGGAAAAATAATCTGAGTATCATTTCTTAATTAGATAGTTCAGCCTTAAAAGACCTTATAACAAGAGAAAGTTAACCATTTTGTGCCTTATTAATGAAAGACTACAAAACTCACAGTTGTGAGGCTGTAGCACTGATAAGAAACAATAAACACCTGAGTCTGAATGTGAACTGTAGTCTCAAGTGCCTTCAATCCTGACCCAAACAAAGGTAAAAAAACAAGCAGAGAACCCACAAAGAAAAACCATATTTAAAACTTTTAAAAGTAATTTAAAACTTTTGACTACCATCACCTTCAGTAAATGTACACCAGAATCTTACCTTTCCATTGCTACCCAAGTAGAAAAGGAGGTTATCTGGTTCAGCAGTTTTCACATTGAGTGTTAAGGTGTTGTAATTTGTAGATGAAATTTGGGGTTGATAGGCACGAATGCAATCTCTGTCTGCTGATACTGCAACTTTAATCTGGGGGGACAAGAAGAAAACGGAGTCTAAACAAGTCTCAGCGTACACAGCACTCATTTGTGGAGTATGCACTTAGCTTCTGACCAAGAAATGCAAACCTTTTGCTGAGATCCTTCCATGCAATCTAAGTATTGCTACCTGGGTTAGATTCCTGCAATCTTCTAGGTATCACTTCATAAAAAGATTCACAATAGAAAAGCATAAAATCTGTCTTACACTCACTCAATTGGGAGGTTTGAATCAGTAAACAAACTATTCAAATACCTCAGAAAATAACAGTAAGTCTTGGGTCAGAAGATGATGTAGCTGCAAAAAGCCATGTCATAATATCAGAAAATAAAGATGCAGAAGTTCTAAATGTTTTAAAATAAAGGAAACCGTTTCTAGTCTATATGGAGACATTTTTTTTTTTTGTTAAAATAATTAAGAAGGAGACTGTCTGCAACAATTCTGGTTATTTCAAATTTGTAACAGTTTACACAATATTAAAAAAATAAATTAGTGAATCTATGGCAAGTTCAACTTTTTAAAGATTAAATAAATAATATTCCTATTGTCATATCCCTAAGACCACTGTCTAGTAAACTGATGAAAAACTGATCCAAGCTAAATGCAACCAAACTTCCAGCAGCTTGGTAGTATAGTGACAGAAAATCCATCTTAACAAGAAAAAAGACTTAATTCCTTTAACTTCTTGGAATATACCTGTAACCGCTAAATGCATCTAGCACACGTGTGTGTATGTATGAATCTGGACACAGATATATAAAGTTTCTCTTGGTAGCAAAAAGTTACAAACCAACAAACAAAAAAGACCAAACAAAAATACAATCTAACAAAAAACCCAAACCACCCCCTCCCCAAAACCCAAACCAAACCAAAACACTTAACGCCCCCCCCCCCCCCCCCCCCCCCCCCCCCCCACCCCCACCCCCCCAACCACAAAAACACCTCACCTGTGGGACTCACCTCAAACAGAACCAATTCTCCCAAAATTGGAAAATGGGATTTTGCTAACACTTCTTTTCACCTTGCAGGAACTTCTATGGCTTATGACACCTCAGAAAATACCATTCTCTTTTTTTTTTTTTTTGCAGTGGATTCATTAAGCTTCAGTAGACTGTGACAGAGAAGCAATAACCATATAATTAAGAAGCTTTGCAGAAAGAACTGAGTGCCTTCTTAAAAAAAAAAAAAATCTCCCTAAACCTTACAATAACATATCCACAAGTATGTCAAAGGCATACCAAAAATTACTCATTGCAAAGTCATTTTCATATTTCTCTCACAGTCTAATGAGATCCACAGTACAGTTGATTCACTTTTTCTGTCTTTAAGGTAGAAGCAGAGATTTAAAAACAAGTACACACACTATCTTACTCTGGATGGTCAGCTGCTTCTTGCAAAGAACATATGGACATGACAGGCCATAGATGGCAAGTTTATTCATAGAATCAACACTGTTGACAACAAGTTTGTAATCGTACTTGATGTTATATGGGGCACCCCACACAAATCTCTAAATAACCTCAAAAATTAACATCTCATACTAAAGAAAATAGCAGTACCATCCAACTTGTCTCTTATCAACATCTCTCATGACTGCTTTCTGGCATACTATGTTTCATTATTTTTATAGGAAACAGGAGGAAATAGCAGATAAATTACTAGCTGGCTGTTCTGACAAACTCACAAATGCAATAAGAACCTTGATGCTAAAACCTTAAAATGTTGCCAGAGTGATTTTAGCATCAGTCAGTGCTCTTTGGACTTCACTCAGACTCCGCAGCAACAACCAGGTACCTTGAAAGTAAATTTTAGGCTCCTTATCTCAAACAACCTCCCTGCTAAAGGTGAAAATTCATTTAAGTCTGGGATGATAGAACTTACAGATGCTGCCTGCTTGCGGGCCTGGCTGATAAGTTCTTTAATTTCAGACAGGTTTCTGTTCAGGTTCTCCTCCAGCATTTTCAAAGGTTTGAGTCTATCCAATAAAAGACTTGCTTGTGCTTCAACTTCTTTAACTTGTTTTTCAGCTGTGTATGCTGTGGAAACATAAAAGAATTGTTGAGACAGGGTGAAATTGCTAAAATACTTAGCCAAGGTAGCCAGCTTGTGATCATTTTGGTTTCAGCAACTTTTAACATCTGTAAGGGATATACATCCCATATGAATTCTCTAGAGGACTTTTTTTAAAAGTTAGCATATTTTTACTGAATTAGGAATAAACTGTCAGTCCATCAGGCTCTTATTTAATGCCTGTTAAAACTGAATATTAATACTGCTTCTGCTAGCAGTGACATTGCTTCAGAGCAAACTTACCAGCTTTTGATGAATCAGTTATGAGTTCACTTGTTTTCCTCAAAGTGTCATTAACTTGGGACAATGTAGAAGATGTATTCATTAGCTTTTGACTGAACTCCCCAAAGTGACTTAAATCCACCACAGCACTGGTGTTTGCAGACACAGCCAGCTCTTTCACTTCAAGCATGTGTTTCCTGGCATCTGAAACACAGTTCCAAGGTCAAAAAGCATTCAAAACTTTCATACATTCTTGTGACTAACAAATGCCTGGCTTTGTAACAGCAGCTACAAACATAGTCAAAATACTAGGAATGCTGTAAATTACATTCCTGTCATAGTAAGAATTGCATTTTTATTTCTTTGGGGAACTTGATTCTGCCTATCTCATCGGGAAGTTTGTATGAATGCATCAGGCTCACAGTGTTTAAGTTCCCTAAATAAGTGTTGGAACCCAGAGAAACTTAGTCTGAGACTGAGGTTTTGACTCCATGCAAAGCCAGTGAGGCAGAAGCTCTATTACACCCTCTGGTTTTGACTACAATCATCTGTACACTGATTGCACCACCCCCAGTCTCAGCCTGCCCCTTACACCCTCTGCCCACAAGAGTGGGAAGAGGCTGCAGCTGGCAAAAAAGGCCTGAGTTAGACCTCCAAGGATCCTCCTTCACCACTCTCCAGACAGAGAGCAATGCCACCATCAATCTCTGACCGGGGAAAAAAAAAGAGACAGCTTCAAGAAGTGTAACAACAAGGCTGAAATCAAACAAAGTTAAGCTGTGAGTAAAGGAGAACACTCCTGCGATTTTAATGATTTAATTTTCAATGTGTAGCTTTATGACAGATAGCATCCTGCAGTTCATATCCGGTGTAACATCATCACTACTATTACCCTTGAGCATGAATTGGTCTCTAAATTGCAAATTGGGTATTTTGAGGCTTTGGACTTAGCATTCTAATCCAGATTCAGAGTAGAATCAAACAACACTAGCAAGAGGTCTTGATCAGTGTTTTTCTAACTTAAAACACATTATTAAGATTGGCAAAGTATTTTGGACCCTCCTATTCACAACTTGAAAATAATTTTCTCTATTAGTTCCGATGAACTTTAGTCTTGCCTTTATTCAAAATAATGATTGAAAAAAGAGGAATTATTTCATTTCAGAAAAGCACAGAAAACATATTTTAATCAATTAAATGAAGTCTGCATTTACAACAAGAAAATTTACATTTACATGCAGGCTGTAAAACTCATAGATTAATAGAAACAGTTTTGAAACAAGCCAGAAAAGAAAGTGAAATCTCAGAGTTCCATATGTAAATTTCTCTGCATGTGGGATTAAATACTTTATAACTTCACTCTCCTTACATATCAGTGCAATTATATTTCTATCAAAGCCTCTCCTGATTCACAGCAATGTGAAATGTGAATCAGACTACAGACCTTATACTATAACCCAATTATGTTTAATGGGTTTACTGAAAAGAATGTAAAATATTTAGGAGGCTAAATGAAGTCTCCAGTATAGTTTATTGCTAGTTTTCTGCAATCAGATAATGAACAGAGTTTTATTACAATTGTACTAGAGAGTTCTGTAATAAGGAGAATGTCAATAAAAATTTCACTTACTGTTATGCAATGCTCTGAGTGTCAACAGAGAATCATTAAGTTGGTTGCCAATTTTATTAGTACTTTCCCGAATCTTTTCTACCTTTTTGTTCAACCCATTCAATCCAAATAGAAGTCCTGTTGAAAGAAATAACATGCACATAAACAAATACAATACAACCCACACAAAACCAAGGTATTCATTTATTTCATCAATGGAGCTTTTTTTTTTTTTTTTTTTTCCAACAGAAAGAGCATTTTACAAACAGGAATGCAAAATGAACGCAGTATAAATAGATAGGCTTCTCTGGGCACTGCTCTGTTCAAAGCTACAAAAATTGGCCAAAGCTTTTTGGCCAATTCCAGGAGACTTAATGGCTACAAACAGAGCAAGGAAATGGCTATAAATTAAAATTATTCCATGATTGTGAACTCCAATATTTTTTACAGTGTTCTTCATGTTTTATGTTATCTAACAGGAGCCAAAGAAGTGGCTTTTTTCTGTATATATTTGTGATCTGTTTGCAGAATCCTCACATTATAAATTAAAATATGCAGAATAGAAGGAATAAAAAAAGGTAATCCTGTACATCTGAATTACATAATATTTATACATATTTGTAAACCGCCAGGATTGCAAGACAACATTATTTTACAATTACAGTTTATCTCTGTGAAATATTCCCTTTCTGTCCAATTTTGTCAAAAATTTAACTTAGGGTTTGCTTCTGCTCCTACACAAAGCCGTTGTTAAAAATGCTTTTGAATTTTCACGGTATAGACTTCAATGCCTTACTAGTATCAAGGTTCAATGCCTTGCCTTGGAGTAATAGAAAAACCAAAAGTATTTTTGAGTTTATGGAGACAAAGAACTTCAGCTTTTTTCTGTATTTTAGCTGTCCAGCAGGAACAAATAAAAAGGATCAGGATTTAATTAAAATTAAATTAAAATTAATTTTTTTTTTAAAAACAGTCACTGCAAGACCTGCTTATACATAAATGGTGTATAGTGAAGGCCAAATTTTAAATGTTTACAGAGAAAAATTTTATTCTTACCCAAAAAATGAAAATACTATGAGAATCCACAAAACATAATGTTTTGTGTTGTATAATGTTGTATAATGATAATATGTACATAGTCAAATATATATATATATACACCTTAGCTTACACTCGTTAAAAAAAAAATAAACTACATATATATATATATATATACACCTTAGCTTTCACCTGTTAAAAAAAAAAATAAACTACATTAAAAAAAAGCAGCACAAAACAGAAAATGGGGAAAAGAAATAGAGACACAAATATGAATTCTACAGAACTGACCATCACTTTTTTTCTTCAGATTTGTAGCTTCATTCTGAAATTTGGAGCTAAGTAGTAGAGTTTCTTTTCCCAGAAGACTGAAAGACTCCTCTGGCTAAAAAACACAGACATTAAGTTGCCACATATGAAAAACAGAAATTCAACTGAAAACATTTAAGTATTTGCAGACCCCTACATAAAGTTATTGAATATTCTTGTTATTTATGAGATATTCTATTCATTACCTTATTAAGCATCCATTAAAAATAATACAAGTTGTTATCCTTTATTCAAGAATGAGACATTGAGTGTCTTTGTGTTCAATAATAAAAAAAAAGATGACTATGAAAGAAAACCTAAAAAAATTTAGTTTCAATACTGCTAGTGATTTGATACTGTCTCTTGGAAATTCTAATTCCAGATCTAATTCAAAATTTCCAGCACTGAGCAATTTAAAGTGAGATATTTCAAAATCACATTCTTAGAGGCATTCTTTTAGCTTTCTCCAACTGAACAAACCTGGAAAAACACCTTGAAGGATTCATGCTGTAGACAACTTTAATAAGACAGAGTGCTATACAAAAACATACAAGCTCACAAAACAATGTCAACTTTTTTGATCACTGTCATGTAAATGCATTCTCACACATTTGCTTGTGCAGCTATAATGTGCATGACAAAGACATGTGAGGGGGAAATAAAATTATGGGAAACTCTTAATATCAGACTGGAAGCTCGTCTGGTCTCTCTAACCTACTGTTTCAATAATAATCTGATAATCTGTGAAGGCAGAGGGATGGTAGATGAGACACAAACATACATTTGTTATGAAATGTCCCCTGCTAAGCAAAGTAGCTGTGGTTGGGAATATCCAGATAGAAGTTGGAAAGGAATAGGTCAAATAAGGAGATCATTGAATAATTCCAGAGGTGGAAGGGAGCACTAGAGGTCTGGGAATTTAAGCTCTACAGGAATACATGTCAGATGCCTGATACAAACCCTCATAGAATCAAGTCCAGTCCAGCTAAACATGCATTAGACATTAAAAAACAAACAAAACAAAGGGAAAATGGTACTGTGGCAGAGAGAAAAGCAAGGTAAACAGAACTTGAGATGTGGTGTCATTACTGCCTTGGAGTAGGGATTCAGGATACAGTACCTACTAGCTGGTAGGACAGACTGCCATCAAGGACATGCCTCCATCAAAAAGATTCAAGATTTCAGCAAGTGCTGAAACAATTAGAACAAATATTCCTAAATGAGAAAGGGGCAGGCATAAATTAAAGTACTAATTTTGATACTTACTAAATCCAAGGGCGCACTCACAACTCTAGATGCATCATCTGCCAAACTTTCTGTTCTTTCAATCACACTTTGAACGCTGGAGTGAGTGTAGATAGCAGCAGTTGTGTTCAGAGTCACATTTCTTACTCTGGAAAGGTCACTGAAAAGACAATTAACAAGCAATCCTGTTTTCAATCAAGCAGTGAGTTCCATGTCTTCAATTACAACATGCACATCTTTCCCGAATACATGATGCATTCTGAAAAAAAATGAGCACACCTTGCCCAGTGTTGCACAAGGGGCTTTCAATTCATTATTCTGAACTGAAAGACCAAGTTAAAAGGTTTTCAATTACAAGGCTTTTTTTCCTATTTTGTTGGTTGCTGTTCTGTTTTTTTTTCCATTCCATCTCTATTTTTTTCTCCTATTTTGTTCCCTTTTGCCTGTGTTAATTTTTTCAATTTATAAAGAACCTTAAAACAAACAAATCGTATTGCCTAAACAGAACAGAAATAAGCCCCTATCTGAAACTCAAAAGTACAGATACAGGATCTAGGGTGAAATTGTAAGCATCTGAAATCTAATCTATATTAAATTTTGCTTTATTGAATTTATCTAGCTGTGGTGAGGTCAAGAATTGCTTAATGTTACTCCAAGCAAAATTTTCTGTTTTCAAAACATGGGCAGGGAATTAGTTTAGTGAGTTATGTCTAGTGTTTACATGACACTAATGTAAACCTCATAATTTTGTAATCCTTGAGTTGATCACCTCTCTAGTGCATCTGCAAGTCTTTGGAACTGGGTGGCATGTTCCTCAGCTCTGTATACCAAGTCAAGCACTCCTCTCACAGACATCTTCATCACCAGCTCATCCACGTGATGTCGCAGTTTGGTGCTCCACAGGACCAACCCATTCTGGTGGACTTCCACATTCTGCAAAAAAAATGTTTTCCTTTTATTTTTGTTTTTGTTTCACTAGCAAAATAAACTTGAGAGTCTCTAAGAGGATGTTAAAACTTAAGGACTTACAAACGTAGAGTTCTTTACATCTTGGGCAAGAGCAGCAGCATCATTCAGTAGGACCTTCCCTTCTTTAATGAGCATGGTCGAGATTTCTTCACCTTCCTTTATTTTTAGCTTTTTGTCCTATAGCATAAATCAAGTGTTTTATAGTAGGCTGATAAGCGAGCTATACTGATGAGTTCACATAATATAATATTGTTGTTTTCAAACACGGGTCTGGTTTCCTTTAAATTTTTAAGGTATCATATATATTAAAACATTTAAATATGTTTAAAAATGTAAAATATCAGGTTTTAAACACAATCACATATTTGGTATTTCTTATGCAGTGACACTGACTGTCCAGTCTTACATTTAACTCTGCCAGGTTGCTGGAGATGAGAGGAAACAAGCGACGGGTCTCATTGATGTTAGCGAGTGCCTCGTTCACCAGGTCCTGGGCATCCTGCAGTCTGCTGCTCTGCTTTGATAAGAATTGGCTGGCATTCCTTTTTAGTTCAGCAAGTTCCTGCTGGGGTTTGAAATACTCTTTCTGAACCTGGGTCAACAACTTTTCTGCAGCTCTGAAAAAGGAGACGAATCAGAACTTAAAGAACCAGCAAAGAAGGAACTTAGGCATGGATTTCTTAAGAAGAAAAATGATGTAATGTGAAATCAAATTATATGCATCTTCTTACTAAAGTCTGCCATTTTTTTCTAGAATAGCATACATGGTCGTTTAGTTATTCTTCTTACCACACAAAATGATGACTGCCTGGGGGGAGGATAGTAATACAGATCATAAACTTTGCATGTAATGACTAGAGAGAAAAGGGGTGAGTATGAATCACATTTGTTTGGACTTGATTTGGGACATACCCGCCCACATCAAAATCTCTGTGAAACGTTCCTCTGGGAGTACTCTATATCCTAATTGTAGTGATTCATATTTTGAATGTAGGATCAAAACATCGTTTACAAGGATTGGCATTGGAAAGAAACAAGTGACCAGAACTGAAAGACATACATGCAAGAGTCCAGAAAAGTTTAAATATCAAATAAAAATAAAGAATCTTATTAAAATGAACACTGATATGAACAATCTCTGCACTTATATTTTTAATCAGCAACAGAAATTATCAGGCAAATATTAAATTCTCCCAAATCTGTCAGCTGTTAATTGCTTCAGCTATTCTATTTGGGAATATTTGCATCTTCATTTGAACATTTTCCAGAACTAAAGGAACAGAAATTATAATTATCCTGAAAGTCTATTCCTTTGTTTCTCTTCATTTCAGCACATATGCTGAATATTGCAACTCCTGAAATGATATTTTTACATAAATGTTTGTCCTTGTTAATCTGAGTGCATATAACATAGATCTTTAGCCAAAGAGAAAGAAACCTAGTTTATTTCACAGTTAGATACAGCAAAATGCATTACAGCTTTCTTGTTGAACAGCAGATGTGCATTTGCATGCATTGCCTAAAACTAAAAACTCAGAGTCCCTTCAATCAGAACCCACAGCCTTAAAAAAAGTTACAAGATATGAAGTATTTTACAAGTCAATAATGGCTTCTGTTTCAGCATAGGGTAAAAAGGTTATATTCCAAATTGTCTGTCAATGAAAGGCCTTTGCCTTTCAGGGCAAATGTGTGGAGACCTCAGTTATAAATGTTGCCCAAAGTACATTATCACAAACTCAGTCCACTGTGAGTCACGTAGCAACATCTACTCCCTAAAATACAGACTAGCAAGCTGCTTATTTAAATAATTTTTGAATTTACAGCTGCATTTCTTAAGAAATTCTGCAGAGCAAACAACCTTACAGAACTTATTAGCTCTCTTCTTCAATCTGTCAAAAGGCCCTTATCAGAGTGCTTTCAGAAATTTCAACAGAGAGTATAATTGAAAAAGTTAATTTGCAAACACCTTCTGTAACAGCTCAAAAGCTGTTGATGTTGAAAGTCAGAACATTTTGTTACTATGGAACAACACACCTGGAGACATATTTGAAGTTCCTAATAAGAATAAATGGTACATTTCTGGTCCATTTTCATGTCTGTGTAGTTTCTATACAGTTCTATATTCAGCAGAGTCTGCTGAACAAAATGAGACATGCTACCAAGACAAACACCCTATCCTGCTTAATCCAAAGCACTTTATAAAAAAAAGTCAAATTTTCAGAAATATTCTACTCTGATCTATCCTTGTCCCTGAAGCCAGCGTTAACATTCTTACAGGTTTTGGTGTGATATATCATTAGTTAGTATTTCTGAAAGTGGAACAAAAAATTTGCTGACTTTTGGAACAGTAATTTTTTTGTCTTGTCAAGTCTGGTAATAAGCACTAATAGTGACTATAAAAGCAGTTTCAAAATAGCCTTCAACTGGGGACAAATCAAGACAACAGAATACAGTCCTAAGCAATGGCTCAGAATGCTTTCAAAAATGCCTTGGTTTTATTTGCAGATCCTTGTATTACATATTCCAGTGACAATCAATTGTCATGTCCTTCAGCAGGTCTGACATGTCCTGGGCTTGCAATTGACTGAGACAGTTTTCAGCCAAAACCAACACACAGTGTGTATTAGGGTCAGATCTGAAAGAATCTGAAATCACTGAGTCTTTTGAATTATTGCAAGGGAATTTTGTATCACATCCAAGTTAACAGACTTTACTGTTGATTTTTTCAAAACACTTTATTGTTGATTTGTATCACATGGGATGACCAAGTATCACCAAGTCGTGTAACTTCAAAGCAAAGTTCACACAGCTCCACCTGGGCTAACTATCACACTGCCACTTATTATGGCAAAATGTTTCTTCAGATATCTCTTAAAAAAAGCAGTGTTGCATGGCAGACACATATGTGAAATCAAGTTTTTTGGTAGAACAGGCTTACTTTAGGACTGTGGTAGCATTATGGTGCTGCTGAACGAAATCCTTCTTGCGCAATGCATCCAAAAGGGCAGAAATATCATCCTGCAGGCTCTGAGATGCAGCATTTGACAGCGGCAGATCCAGGCCCAGTGTTTCATTTAGTGACAAAACAACTTCAGCAAGCACTGTGTAGGAGAATAAACAATTCAGTCATACCATTAAAAAAAAAGAACATATTTGAATCCCCTGTGCAAACAGTAACATTTTTCATTTAAGAGTTGCAAATTATATACCCTTACTAAATTTTGTAAAGAAATGGGAATATCTTAAAAACAGGATACCTTTGATGGTTGTATGCACTGTGTCAATAAAGCCAGTCAGTTCTTGACTTTTATTCCTGGTTTTCTGAGTCATTGTGTCAAGTTGCTGAGCTTTTTTCAAAAATCTGGTTGTCTAGAATAAAATCAGAGACGATATTTGACATTTCTCCTAAAACAATGATTAATTCCTGACCCTTGTCTATGGTTTTTATGCTTATTTTCTTAATATTGAGAGTATTTTAGTTTAAGGAAACAATGCTTTGTGGTAAGGTAAATCTCACTGCTTTACATATCTGATGCTTCCATCCTTGCAGATGCCTTAATTGTGTTTGAAGTTCCAGACTCTCAGATCAGAGTTATCAATTATTTCCATAATCAGTAAGCTCATAATTAGCAAAGCTATTTCTTTAACTAAGCAAATATTATATAATTATTTTAGGTATAACTAATGTTTGTTAAGAAAATCACTGTTCTGGATACTTCAATATTAATGCAATACAATAACAACACTCAGTGGAAGCACCGGGTTAGATTCTCTATACATGGCCAGAACATTATAAGAACATTTGTTCAGCAAATGAGATCTAATGGCTGAAGTACTATGGTATATGTCCTACCTACAATTATTTTCCTGTTAAGACTGGACTGGATAAAGAATACAGATATTGTCTATTTTTCCTGTGAGACTTTAAGAGATTTTTTATTCCTGAGGTCATTTTAAACACAATACTACAGGTAAAGGACTTTTTGGTGAACATTCAGCTATGACATAGCTTTTAATTAGCTTCACATATGAAAACCAATGAGAAGAAAGTAACTCACTCTCTCCAGTTTTACGACATTAAATGAACACAGTGCTAAAAAACTTTTAACTTTAATAGAAATCATGTAAATCTCTTGAACAATATCATATACCACTGTCATTTGCAGAAGATTTCCACAAAGCAATTAACTCTCCTTTTCAGGAAGACTACAGCATGGACTGAATTCTTTCACTGAACTCTACAGATTTTAAGTAATTTCTGAACAAATCTCTAGCATTCTGCTATTATGCTATGAAATTTCCAATAATTTCTCCAGATAGGCTAAAGAATAATAGGCCTAAAGATAGGCTAAGAATAAAGAAGCCGGTACCTACCTCTTCATGCAAGTAATCAATTCCTCCTGATAAATTCAGAAGATTTTCTTTTGTTGTATCTAACGAGTAAGTTGGGTCTTCTCTAGGAACTATAGACCTCTGTAAGAAATGAGAAGTGACAGCTCTTCAAATTGTAATTTGAAGACTTTGTTGCAGGTCCAGAAAAATTGGGAAGCAAATAAATATGCACGCTATTTAGATTATTTATATGTTTGAAAGGACTGATTTTCAAAGGACACAAGATGATGTAAATTAATTACATACATACAGTTCATGCAACACAGTGTACCATTTCTTTAAATAAGCAAGAATCCAGCCACATTATATTTTTAATTGAGTAAAAAGGAAGGAAACAGCAGTTCTGCATTCCTGATTCTCAATTTCACAACAGTCTGAGCTACCAAATAAACTACTTTAAGGAGTTCCAAGGCCCTTCAAATTAAATATTTCATCCAGAACCATAGCTGCTATCATTTCAGCAAATGGTCCTGTAAGAACAGCTGCACTAGGGTGCATCTGTGACGATGACCCTGGAGATCAGCAGTCCTGTAGGTCCCTTTGTCAATAGGAAAGAATAATAGGCTGTATTTGCCTTCAAGGTCACCTCAAACCTGCTCCATACAGCAATAAATAGATCATTGTACCCAAGTCTATTATATTTGATACAGTCAAGGCCTGTAACAGGATACCACTTCTCTAAAGAAACTTAGGGCATCTCTTACAGGGAAAGCAAGTCTAGGAAAGGTTATTTTTAGATTTCAGATGTTTCAGAGCCAATCATCATAAATACCATAATAATAATATATATATACACACACACACACACATATATATGTACATGAACATATATGTATATATAAACACACACATAAAAAGTAAAATCCAAATTTTTTAAGAAGTAATAGACAATAGTGTCCAACAGCCTTGTGTCAAATGGAAATTTCAAATTTCACTTTTCCTCATCATGAAAAACAAGTGAAAGAGAAAGCTAAAGCTCTTGAGCCTTAAAACCCCAGGAGGTTTCTTTAAAAGCCTAGTTCAAAAAAGCAGGACGGGACAGCAACCATGTTTAGGTATAATCAGGAGGCTTTAACTAGAAAAACAGAACTATTGAAGTCTTTCAATGGACTGGAGGGGCAGAAGCAACGAGGAGCAGACAATCTGATTTGATAACGTTGTCATTAATGAAGAACCCACAGAAAGGTAAAGAAAAGACGAAGTACTCAAGTTCTTGAGCTACCAGCATGAGGCAGAGGCAACACGGTGACGGGACAGCCCTTCAGGGAAGATCTGTAAGTCACAGAAATAACCTTGGGGATCTTCTGGCCTCCAGCCAGAGTTTCTTTGGCACAAGGCAAGGTAATCTTTAAAAATCCATAAAAAGGGAAATACCTGCTTCCAAACAGAGAAAAATTAAAAGACTATCAACTTACCCCCACAATTAAGCTGCTTAAAAAACACTGTGGCCCGACATAAATGAAATTACATGAGTCACAAGAAGTTTTATATCACTTTAAGGACCCCACTTCCAAGAAAGTGACATCTGGCTTTTATTTAATTTTAATATTGAAAAAATGTATATACTAAAACTTAAAAAGTAAGAAGAAAGTAGAGGCTTACTTAAGTAGTTAAGGTGAACTTACTATAAACTTATTATAGTTAAGAAAGTTAAAATTAAGAAGTAAGTAGAAATTTAAACTGCCCTTATTTTTACATAAGATTTGACTTTTCCTTGCAATCACGTGCTCAGTAAAAACTACATATGAATAATGTTTCCAGGTACAAGATGATAGTGTTCCTATGCAAACACAAATTAATTATAGAAAGCAAGTGAATTGTATCCTTGAAGTATTACAATAGTTCAGTACACTTAAGCCTTAGGACATAAAGGGAAGGGAAGCATAACTGAAGCTTTCAAACTAAAAGGTTAGTAACTAAAATTAAAGGATAAGAGTACCTCTGCTGAAGCATAAACATGTAATTTAATCAAGTTTGCCATCAATTATTGTAACTATTAACGTTTTGAAGCACACTGATTGGAACTCATTCTGCCTTATATCTTGAATAGAAGAAATAATTTAAAATTTTCATTTGCTGAATTTGGCAGCACGAAAAGACTTACATTATTTTGATTTTCTTGTGATATGGTGAAATACAAAGAAAATAGCTTTGTTTCTGACTCAGAGCTTGTCTGCTTGACTGTTGCTGAGAAGATTCTTACCAATAAATGTGCTTATTTTTAGTAGTCATGAAGCAGGGAGGATTCTGTTTATCTGTGGTTTTGTGCAGAGGCCACATGAACCTATTCCTCAGCAACAATAAATGACCTTCTACAATCACAAAAAGTGGTATTTCATGCTTTGTTTAAGCAGGGGAGGAGCTGAAGGGAAGTTAGCCCCAAGCAGTCTGAAAGTGTCCAACACTGAAACATTCCACCTGACTTTAATGTCCTGAGATGAAGGATAGAGTAAAGCACTTGGACTGCCACACAGCCAAAAATAAAGCAAACTGCTGCACCCCAAGCTCCTTTGCTAATGGAAGAGCAGCATACCAGTCCAGGGAAGGACCCAGGGAACTTTAGGGAAACACCCTCTAAATCTATGCCATGGCAGCTCTTTAGCAAAGGGACCAAAAAGGGAGAAGACCTGGTCTGCTGCTTCTATTTCACCACTGAAAGTTAATCCCTTTGCTGGCCAGACTTAAGAATGCCCATAATCTACACAAAGCACATGCATACAGCACATTCAGAAAATCTGATTGGTGATTGAAAAATTTATTAATCCATTTATTTAAATGCCAGTGCAATAGATGAAAAGAAACTTATAGAGGCAGGCAAATAACTTAAGGTATATTTTCACAGCAAACTTAATCGTCTTAATCTGTATCACTTACACATTTTCCAGCTATGAACTTCAGAAGGCCTTCTGTCAAATTACTAGCACCTGTGGGTGGCTGCAAATTTTGCTTTAAAAGTGTGACTGAATATTTCTGCTGTTTATGTGTTCATTTACCTTCAGATGCTCTGTTGCATTCTCCAACTCTGACAATATCCCATAAGGCACACGGTCAATACCAGTGAGGTTCACTGAAAGCATGGCCTCATCGAGATTATCCAAACTGCTTAGCAAAACTCCTGTGCAGTTGTCATCACAAGCTAAATAAACAATTTTAAGGAAGTGGTATTAATATTAAAATGAAGACAAAAAATACTGCACTTTTGATTTAGACAGTATGTGCCTTCATCTTTTGAGTTAAGAGTGATAAAGTATAATAATCTGAATAATCTCTGAATGGACAGATTTGTAGTCTTGCCTTTCCCTTCTTGCCCAAGAGTGAACTTATTCCAAACACATTCTTAGGTTAGCACACATTAGAGCCCTATTGGTCCTGCTAAGTATTGAGCTGCTTGCTGTATAATAAGCTTATTGAGCCTATTTAGCTATTTTGCAATAAATCCATGTTGAAGCCACTCAGTCAAACAGGTATGGCAGACAGGAAATTCAAGCCTACAGTCCTGTAATTCCATTTATTTCTCAGATTTTTTAATTTATTTATACAAAATAAAACCAGAGTTCCAAATCCCAATTAATTATAGAAGCAGATTGCTTCACTAGATGTGCCTTTCTGCTACTTACACTCTCATAAAGAATTACAAGAGTAATTATTGGGGGAATACGACTTATTGTTGGTGGAGAATGCCTATAAACCTGGCATAATTCCAAAAGTATTATTACAGCAACCTCACATCCAAAGGGTCAATAACATAGGAATTCAAGATTTTGCAATAAATAAGATATGATACAGTCAGCAAAAGTCTTAAAATTCTCTTTCTTTAAACTTGTTTGTAACAATAAATAAACCAGTTTAAGGATTAACTGCTTGGCTGATGTTATGATCCCTACTGTATTTTCTTGTGTGTTCACAGAATGGTTGAGTTTGGATGAGACCTCCAGAGAATACCTTCTCCAAACCTCTCTGTTTTACAGAAATAATAAGTCGTTAGGGTTTCTTTCCTTCACAGAAAGAACAGGGCCTGGCATCATAAACCCATCCAGGGAATAACCATGTGCACATAAATACCACTGGAGCAGACCACAGCCCCTTGTAAAGTAAACAACTTGAAAGTAAACTTGAAAAGCACCTACAGACACACTCGTCTTCCAGCAGAAGATGCCTGGGCTCACACTCCTCGCAGAGCTGTCCCGTCACCCCTGGCTTGCAGAGACACTGCCCGGTGGCACCATCGCAATTCCCGTGAATGGAACCGCCCGGATTGCACTGGCACGGACGGCAGCTGCCACCAGGGAGCCGAGGGGCACCGTAGTAGCCAGGGGAGCACCTACAGGGAGGGATGGCACGCTGAACATCACAGGGTATTCATCCTGACATCAGATGTTACATTCACTAACAGCTTGGGTTTGTTATTAATAGCTCAACAGTAACTAGCAAATCACCCAAGTCCTTGAGCACTCATTTATACGCTTATTTAGGAACACTGAATAATCTCAGTGCACGTATGGCTCATATTAATCAAATTGCTCTGGGGAGTTGGGAATAAATTGGAACATCATTTGTAACTCACCTTTCACAGTACTGTCCTTCATATCCTGGGAGACAGGCATCACAGTGGTAATCATGAACACCTTTCAGGACACAAGTGGGACTAAAACTAGGGGAAGGATAAACAAATACCTGCTATCATATAAACAAAAGACCATACAAAGCCACAGGTTAAATACTGGAAGCAACAGCACCTTCTGCTTAATCTGATAGCATTTCTCTAGAACTTGTACTTTAAATTAGTTAAGTTTTCTTTCCCAATGCAGCTCCATTACTGCAGAACATGCTAGAGCACATTATGGCCTTCCTCTGAAAAAAGGTAAGACAATGTAAGTATGATATGGCTAATGCATGTAACTGAGACTTGCATAAAAACACCGGAATCGCTGGACTCTCAGATTCTCATTCTGACTCAGTTATACAAAAGCAAACAACAAATATGCTTCTTAAGCTTCCAAAAAAACCCCAGCCTGTACAGAATTTTGTTTTTCAAAATACAAAATTAACTGTTCCTCTACCAAACAAGCAGATGTGAAAATTTCAGACAAAAGAGTATTTGTTCTTCCCCTTGGACTGATCTCAGGAAAAGTTCCTGCATTGAGTGGGGATGGCCTGAATCTTTGTAAATACAAAAGTACTGTTCTCCAAATGAAGAAAGAGACTCACATTTGATGCTAAACAATGTCACAGCAACTTAGTCAACTATCTATAAAACAGTCTATGTGTCTGTTACAGTCTTAGAGAAAAAAAATCTTTTTAATGTTAAATGTTAAAAAAACATTTTTATTTTAAAATTTCATAGAGTTACTAGTACAGCTCAGAATGCAAGCTCCCTTTACTAAATAAAAATAGGCAGCATTCAAATGTCTAAAAATTAAGGACACGTAACAGTAACCAACCTCTACTGTCATAGTGTAGGAGGAGCAGAAGGAGTAGGAGATCAGACAAACAACACAAGAAATGGGAATGGTAAATTTACAGTGGATTTGGTAAGTTCTGGTTACCTGGCAGGGTTGGCTCTGGGACAGGCACAAGGAGAGCAGTCATTGGCAGATCCAGTCACTTTCCCATAGTAGCCTGGGGCACAAGCACTGCAGTGGTCACCAACTGTGTTATCTCTGCAGTCCTGAGACAGAAAATTCAGATGGTTTAAAACAACAACAAACGACAGGAGTAACTTTATCTACTTTATCAACACATGTGTACAGTTTCCAGCAATGATCTCTACATGTCACTACCCCCTGACCAGCATTCTCTGAGTGAAAAAACTTTTTATGCAAACAGAATGCCAGGATATTTTCTCTTATGTGAATGCCCCTTCAGGAAGGCTGATCTAATTTCTTTTTAAAATTTCCATAAAGTCTATGTATTTTTGCTACTATTAATCAATTCAAGTCAGGACATCACAGTACAAAACAAAAAAATCGTAAAAAAAAAAAACCTCTAAAATAAAAAATCTAAACAAAAGAAACAAAGAAACAAACAAAAAGGAAAAATTAAACAGAATACCTGGCTTTTCTGTTTTAGTATTTCAGCAAATGCTGAGGACTATCTACAGTTAGGATTAACAGACACTACATTTTATTTGTCAAGAGTACTGATCAATAACCAGTGCTGTACATACAACATAATATTAAAAAACTAAATTGGTATTAAAAACACCATTTAACTGACTAGTACCCCAAGTGAACAAAAACATTTTTCTGCTTTTCCCTCCTTTTTTCTTTTAACCTTTCTTTTTTCTTATTCTGTATTTCATATACCTGCTAGTATGTATTTTAGGTTGGTTGGTGAGGTAAACAGTGGCAATACAACCTCCTATTTTATAGGAGCAGAAGTCAGGTGAAAACCAACTCTCTTGCCTACACCACTCAGCTGGAAATGTCTGAGTAGTAATCCAGAGACACAGATGACTTGCTAACTCTCAAAAAGAAACTAAGAGAAAGAATAATGAATATTCACCTCTGTGAGAGACCTATGCATCTTAGCCTTGCAGAAGTGAGAACCTTAGTTCTTACTCATGAGATACATACTTTGTACAAACCTGAAAGCAAAAGAGTGGCTTAGAAAAGCCTCAAGGACTAAGGAAACTAAGTTAAAAACTAACTTCAAGAATTAATTCAGCAAAAGTTGACTTTGAACTAACGCAGTCATCGCTGGAAAAATAAAGCAACTGGGGGGAAAAGATTAGAAAAAAATACTAAGTTCCAGGGAATGGACTTAATATGCCTTATTTGGTTAGCTGAGAATTTGCTGGCCATAGCCTGTCAGACCAAAAGAAAGAGGAAATGTGTTACTCATATGTGACCCTTCTTTGCAACCTTTGTGATAAAAGGAGAAAAGTGAGCAAATCAACTTTGCTGAGGCATATCCCTACAATACTGTAGTCTCTGGGCATTAAAAAAAAAAAAAAAAAGCCTCATTTAAAGCTGCCCAGAGGATTCTTTTCCTGAGAAAGAATTTACCTTTGATTTAAGTCTGTGGCGCAGTATGGCTTACTGCATGCTTTATTTCTTTTTTTGTGTGCCTAAGAAGACTTTTTCCAAAAGCCCAAAAAAGTCTCACAGAAAAACAGACAAATTCAACCTATATAGAAGTAATATTAAAAGTAAAATTAAAACTAAAATAATTAATGATTTTTGAGTATCATAGTGCCCCAAAATCTTGCTAATTTAACTGAACAGGCTGTAAGGGAAACTACTCAGATTTGCCATTTTTCAGAGTTGTGGGGGGAAAAAAATCACATTTTATCCAAGTAGTACAGCCATATACTTCTCCTAAAAACTCCTTGGACAGGTTACTGCCATTGTATGCTCAGGTGAAATCAATAAAAAATGTATAAGACGTACATACCAAGCACTTCCCAGTGTCAGGATCACAGGTTTCACTGTGGTTGTTGCACTGACATGGCACACAAGGTGCTATCAGAGTATGAAGCTCTCTTACACTGAGTTCTGTATGCTTTCCCCTGTAGTATCCTGGAGCACAGCTCTAATTGTAAGGGGAGTAAAGAAAAATTTTAAAGAAATTATTACAGCTATCAACAGCAACAACAACTTCAAAAGCCATTAAAGTAATATTTTTTTTTTTACTTTCACACCATTAGACACACAAAAGGACTCAAGGGGTCAGTACCTGGCACGACAATCCAGTGTAACCAGCAGGACACCTACATTGCTCTACAAGATGAGCAAGAGGTCTGCCTAGATGCATTTCTTCAAACTTGACTGCAATTTCCATTGAGATATTTGCAATTCTACAAGACATATGCAGAAGAGAAAGAAGCTTAAGAAGTGCTTAAATGCTTAAAGAAGCAAGAAATGCTTAAAGAAGCACAAAATGAAGATCCAAAAACATTTTCATGTTTCAAGGTCAGGGCTACAATACATAATCTTCCATAATTTCCCATGCAAACATCTCAAAAACTGAACATTTTTTACTTATTTATGGGATTTAAGAATCTACAACCAAACACATCAGAAATTATTAAAAGTAATAAAGGTTGATCCCTCCCCTCTCAATCTTTGGGAAGACTTCCCCAAACCCACAATGCAAGAGTATGTAATTCTTCCTCAGAAATATTGGACAACTGCATTTGTCTCGTGCCACAATTTTGGACAGAGCTAACGAAAAGATAATTGAGGGCATTTGAATCATAAATAGCACAAAATCTGCAGGTGGAATCAGACTTCTTCAGAGCTGCAAAGATGTACAGACATTGGGTTTTCACTGGATGCACCTTTGCTCATCTTGTTTGTTTCCAGATTGACAGATGAAAGAATGATATCCCTATCCCCTCCCTCTCATTAGTAACAGTTCTGGACAAAATGGTAATAAAATGCTACTATTCTGAGGTAGTATGATCTTATTACCACTACCCAGAGTGCTTCAAGCTACAGGAGACACCTAGATTGATACAAACCCAAGAACTCAGGGGGACCATGTGCTTCAACTGAAAAAAAGAAACAAAAAAATTCAATATCCATAAAAATAAGATGGGAAAGGAATATTTTAGAAAATATAAAATATTTAACTATATCATCAGTCCTGCAGAACACTGCATCAGCCTGTGCTCCTTTGTGTGTTTTGCTATCAAAGTAAGCAGCAAAGTCATTTAGTGTTTCACAAAAAATAATTCAAGAGAGATTTTGCTGCAATTAAAAGCCATAAATGTTTTCTTGTCAGAAGAAGAGCAGAAGTCATAAATAGGAAATTGTAAATTTCTCTGAGATAAGTCTTTACCGTATAGCTCAGTTGGAGCTATTTGTAAATTAAATACCAGTAAATTCAATACAATAAATAAATGCAATCAGAGGTTGATTTACCTGCTTTGCTGTAATCCTTGGCCATAAGCTGCCTTGATAAGGATGTATTCAACATTGCTGAGCACAGACATGAAGTCAGAACGTAAGACAGGTTCATCAGACACAGAGTTAAAATACTTCCAAGAATCCTAGAGAAATATAACACATTTATTATTATTATTTATTTATTACTTAAACCAGGGACATTCCTATTTACTTCAAGGTAATGCTGTGTTTCTACTGTGTTTTGGCTTACCTCCTTCATTTCTACTTCCTTGTCAGTTCTTACTCCATTTTCTGGAGACGGGATGTCTGCATAGATGACCAACTTGCTGGTGTGACCTCCTTTCATTAGAATCTGTGGCTCAAAATTTGAGGTTCCAAAGCCATCCAAAGCATAAAAGGCAACAGTATATCTCAGCTTCCCTCCATAGGCCATGAGCTGTTTGGATTAAAAATTATTGCTATTATTTATTCTAAGGTTCAAGCTGCAAGTTGAAAATATCTTAACGTCATCTGTAGACTGGAAAACTGCCAGTCCATTGCAGAATTGGCAATAAAACATGAAAATTTACTTAAACTCAGTGGCTTTTCCACCAAGGTTAAATACATATTTCTAAAAAACTGTTGTAATTTCTTTACCTAGACCTTCTCAAGGCGTGCACTCAATTTACATTTCCAAAGCAATAGAGATTCCATGACCTATTATATTCTATTCCATGAATATACTGATTCTAGCATCAAGGTTGAAAATTCTTTTCGGTTTCTACCATGAAACTAAATATATCACTGTTTCCCCACCACAGAATCCGTGAAGTAATTAAATATGGGTGTTAACAATTTACAGGGTCAAGAAAAATCTTGTTAGGAAAGGGTAATGTAAATATATTGGTTTTGCTTGCTATATGTAAGTTCTATAACTGAATAGTCACCATATTATGACTTACAGGAATAGAACTAACACAAAAATATGCTAAAAAGATAAAGTTACTATTCTAGAGTAAAGGAGTGTCTATCAGACAACAAAGTTATCTACAAAGCATTCCAGTTATTTAATGTTCTTACCTGGTCTCCCTGAAACTGCTCTGGCAACTTCCAGTAAAATGTTTCTGTATTTAAGTATTTTCTGACTATGGCAGCATCCAATAAAACATCAGGAAATTGTGAAAATACTCCTTCCACTGTTCCAGTCAGGTTACTTTGAGCTACTACATGCAGAATAGCCTGATCTGGAGTTAATGTTATCTGCAACACGAAGACCAAAAGATTCATTCACCAAAATATCCTGTTAATGATTTTAGCTGCTTTGAAACAGTCAATAATCCATTTTAGAGTAATAAATGCCCAACCCAAAAAACTGGAAAACATGTTTGATATTTACTTTTTTAAGAAGTGAAGAGTGAAACGCAAGGTTCCAGAAATAAGAGTATGACCATTTACCATTTGCTTTCTTTTCTGTTCTGACCTGTGCCACTGGCCCTGTAAGCCAGTCAGGACACTCAGCATGATCCATTAAATGTGCACACCAGCGTGGTACCTAACATGAGGATAACAGCAAACTGCCTCTGTGTGATTGCTTTACTTACAGGAATTCTCACGTGGTCTTCTAGTTCTGAACAAGATGTGGACATCCCAAAACAGAAGCACGGAGTACATCCTAGTGCACTGCTAGCAGACAGACCAAAAGTTCCAGGTTTACACTCACTGCATTGTAGACCAAAAACATTTTCCTGGAGGATATTAAAAAAAAAAAAAAAAAAGGAACAGTACACTCATAATACTTCACTATCTAAATGAAAGATGATTATTTTTTGAGGAAAAAATAGCCGCTACATAAACTACATGGCAGAATATCAATTATTGTATGCAATCTCTTTTACTGTGCAATACATAATTTTTTCATTATTTCCCAATGCTGTTTTGCTTTTTTTCCTAAAAAAAAAGAAAAGGAAAAAAAAAAACCTCACACACACACAAAAGTCCCCATAAACAACCACAGAGCATTTAATGAAACTCATACATTTGACTATCAAAAATTAGCAGCTACGTATTTCAATTCAAAACAGAATTTCCTTCCAAACCTGCATCTGGAAAATGAGCTCCAAAAGCCAAATAAACTGCTCACTATGAAGAGTAATCAAGGGACCTATTCCCAAGTGTCTATTTTTGCACTCAATTACCAACTGCTAAGATGAACCTCAAGAAACATCCAAAACTACAGTCAATGCCCACTGGTACCTTTAACCAGAGATTGGACAGACATGTATAAAGGCATAAATTTGTTGTCTTGAAGTAAGTTTTCTATCATTCAGTTTTGCAATAAATTATTCCTATATTTTCAGAAAAATACATATTATCTGTGTTTTTAATGTTTCCTTCCCTATATACATGAATAAAGTTCACTATTAGCAATATATCTGAGTTATTATTAAGCACTGCCTTTGGTTCCAGCATAGGAAATTAATTCGAACCTGCAACATAAACATATTTCAAATTACACTGAGATTGTCAATTTAGTATTTATTGGTTTCTTCCTATCATTATAATTTGAATTTTCAAAAAAGCAGGCTGTATCATCTGAACTAATGTGTTGTTCCCAAACCTAATAAAATCAAATGTGAATGAATTGAAAAACTTCAATGGTTTTCAATTTTTCCTGACTAATAGGAAGATCTGTCACAAGAAATCCTTTAGATGTAGGTGTATTCATAAATGACACAGACTGCCTCTTTAAGTCCTTTCAGGCCTGTATCTACTTCAAGGCACTCAATGTCTAGAAAGCACTAATGCTTTCCCAGAAGGGGCTGAATGACTCGGTACCTTGCAGGAACACACGCCAGTTTCTTCTTCACAACCACAAACTCCTTCGGTGCCGTTGCACGTCTCTGCTTTGGTTCCACTCAAATCACAGTCACAGGCAACACAGTCCGGGTAGTCCCTGTAGCCCAAGGCACACCTGGAACAGTCTCGTCCTCCAAATTCAGTTTTGCACTGGCATTGACCTGTCAACACATCGCACTGGGGATTGGCTGAACCAGCGCTGCTACAGTTGCAAGCCTTAGCGGAAGAGAAAAAAGGTACCTAAATAGCAGATCTTTAAAAAAAAATTTCTTACAACAGAAACAGCACAGTAAATTTAAAAATGACCCTTAAAACCCTATGCTTGTCAACAAATACTGTACAATAATAAAAGGGAAGAATTCCAAGCAGAAATTAGGTTGTTTGGTTTGTTTTTTAGCAAAGAACTGCATTTCCAATCAACAGTGGATGGCAAACAGTTAAAAGCTTTGTTGGTTCCCAAAAAATATGGATTGGGAAACAAAGGAGTTGAAGGAATCTGTTCCAGAAAACAAAAATATATCCAAAATACTTTTTTTACAGTACTAGTAATTGAGTACAGCAAGTAAATTAATTAATGTTGTATAAATGCTGCATGAAAGAAATCTGTATCATCATTTTATAAATATGACAGAAAGGAAAATCTTAAAACTAACATTCTGTTAAGATTTCAAGAAGCATTAATAGCTTTGGCATCTTGCTCAAGCTACTTTTACTGTTTGATAAAGAACCAAGAATCTCTTTGCATCCCAAAGGTGGGAAGCTCAACATGCAGTGCAGCTCAGTACCAAAGGAAATCTGTTTCCTGGCAGAGTGCATCTTTCATTATGCAATCAGTAATATGAACCTGTTATTACAAACATTCAAAGGGGGTGTACTTTATTTGTCATTCTTTTTTGAAGCAGTCTGGATTAGCCTTCACTCTTAATTTCTTATCTGTGGTTACTTCACAAGTTTTGGTCTGTGGTTATTTCTAACTGAACAGGCAAAAAGTACATTCCATCTATCACCATCTACCATGAGCATTTTCCCTGAGTTATTTTGCTCATCAGCTCTCTTTGAGATGAAAAGCCTTTACCTTGCCAAGTCCTGCATGCCAAGACCCACAAATTCTAGGAGAATTACTGTCTATCCTTTAGCATTCTTCACAATTTTCCTGGTTACCCACAGCACTCTTTGTATTAAGCAGTTTTTACTTTAGCACTGGGTACTATAATGCCTAGTTTAATACACTTTATGGTCACACAGGTTGACAGCTTTGGCTCTCAGGTATCAGTAAAGGTCCACAGCTCGGAACATCAAACTCTAAGATAGCAATAATTTACATGTATTCAATCTCTAGTTACTTGTGAGAAAGATAAAGGCTCTAACGTAACGTGTGATGCCAGCACACATGAAAAGGACTGTAATCTAAACAAGACTACAGCTCTGCTACACTACTGAACCCAGAAATGGATACTAGATATCAAGAAAACCTCTAGAAACAGAAGAGCCAGATAAAGTAACCACTTATGCATTCTGTGTTGCAAAACCAGACAGTCTGGGCTTCTCAGCATCTCCCCCATTTCATCCATGTAGAGAGCACACAAAGAGTCTGTCCTGGATTTTCCAGAAGACATTGCTGCCGATATTAAACTACCACATCTGACTATTCAGCATAGGGTATATCCCTCTGTTGGGACTATTATCTAGAGATCACGTTAATGTTTGTTTCTTCAAGAAGGGATCTAAAATACTTTAGAATATTTCACATTCATTACCATGATGCTGAAACCAAAAGGAATGATAAATAACCTAGAAAAAGTGAGCAACTGCATGTTTAATTGCACCTGATCATTGGCAATCACCGTGGAATCATGCTATGAAATGAGCACCTCAAAGGAAATGCAGAAGGACCAGCACATTGTATTTGCAGTACATTAGGTAAGAATGACAGTAAGCTGACAGCTAACAAAGCCATGGCTTAAAGACCCGTTGCCAACTATGTTACTATAAATCACTAAGATGGTTAACTCTAAAGACTTATTAGGACTACTTCATCATCCTTACTCTAAAAAATTAAAGAGAGAAAAAGGATACCAATTTGGCTGACACTTAAATACTTACTACATGTAATGACAGAGCTTGTCAAGTTGATTGTATTTGTGGTTTCTCCATTGAAGTTACCCATTACATTCATGTAATTGAGGATTTTTAAAATCTGAACATTTATAAAATAGTTTGGATCAATGCCATACCTGACAAGAATTTACTGCATGAACCTAAAGGCATAAATGGATGATGTTCCTTGAATCTGCACTTGTTCCTTGAACGCAGGCATTTTATTGCTTAATCATAAGCATTAAGCTGAGATAATGGAAGCTACCACTGCTCCATCCAGGAAACATTAACTACATTACACCATTTAAATTATAAATCTGCAGAAAAAATGCCTGCAGTAACTTTCAAGACACTTCTAATGTTCTTAAATCCGTAATATTATCACTTACTGATTTGCACAGAAACTATGTTCCCAGTTGCCCCTTGCTGCTACAAATCTGGTTTAGTACCACTATTTAAACACCTAAATGTTAGAATACACACCTCACAATTCCAGTGTGAACTGTGCACCTATCCAGAATAAGCACTCTGATAGTATTTTCAAAGACAGCCCTCTTAGAACATTGTGCCATCTGTTTTGCTGGTTTTTGTTTTAATTTGAGCATGTTGCATTAACACTGAGACAGAATAAAGATCATGGTTCTCAAAAAAAGAGTCCAATTCTGACATTTGTATAAGGCAAATTGTTTTTAACAGCCATGGCTTTTCACCCAGCATACCATACCTGGCAACCAAGTTTAGGAGAGAGTCCCCAGTAATTTTCTTCACAGAGTTCACACTTTTGTCCCTGAGTGTGAGGGGGGCAAATGCATTGGCCAGAATCAGCATTACAGTTGTTCTGAGTATGGGCACAGTCACAGGCTGCAAGAGAAAGAGGACCAAATGGTAATTTTATCCACACTTTACTACAGAGAAGAAACTCTAAGACCACCGATAGTCTTACTGTTTTATGCAGTCCATTTGTCTGTTCCATTAGGAACTCCTTGCCATCCCTAATCACTGAGAAACAAATCATGACCACAGTGACATTTCATCTTTTTACTCAAAGCCCATTATTGCTTATTGACTTAGCCTATTTGGTGTTTCAAACAGCAGTGCTGCACTTCCACAGGGGGATCAACAAGACCAAATAAAGTTACTTTTGGAGTGGAGTACATTTGTAGGAAAACTTTTCTATGATAGAGAACACAAAACTCATCAGGCGATAAGCTAATGTTCTCAAGCAGGTGAAAGGATTAATGCTCAAGAATTGAATAATAGGGATGGATAACTACTTTTATAATAACTAATTACTGCAGGATGCACTTGGCTATTTAAGACACAAAATACTATTCCTGTTAAAAAGCAGAATTTCAGTGATTTTATTAATCTTTTTATTAACATTTAAGTATTTTCCAATAATGAAAGGGTTAAAGGTACCCAAGGTATCTTTGATTCTTAGTATAGACATAGTATATTAATTTCAAAACAATCTTATCACAATCTCACTGCATATTTCATTTTCATGCACTGTTTTAGGCATGAAAAAAAGTGGTTTTGTCTTGCTGGAGAAAAGGCAGGCATTCCTTCTGCTATACTGTATTGAAAAGGGCATCTTATTAACATGAAAAATTAGGTTTTGATGGCACGTTCTCCTTTCAGATGAACAATTTCTTCCTTATCATGACTAAAAATTGCACACGGCCAGGTGATGATGAGAAAGCAGAGGCAATGACTTCATATCGAAGTATGAAACACATATTTAAGATTTAAATTAAAAAAAAAAAAAGTAAAAATCTGTAGGCGTAGATCTTCACTTTCCCAACTGAAAAAAAAAAAAGGTTTCATTCTCTTTGAAGGACTGAAGGGTTTTGTTATAAAGAGACAAAGGAGCCATTGAGGATGTAATATTTCTCTCATGCACCCTTTATGAGTTATTTCATAGTCACCACCTTTTACAAGGAGCCAGTAAGCAAAGAAATGTTTTGTTCCCTAGCTTAATCAAAGTATTAGTAGACCTTCCTACAGATTCTTCTGTATCGTCACCAAAACTGACCTTTGCCAGAGTTCAACATACAATATACTGCTGAAAGAAATTCCAGACAAACTGTGCAAGGATCGTGGATCAGAGCTTACGTGTGCAGCCACCATCCTGGAATGCGTAAAAGCCATGAGCACAACGGTCACACTTCTCTCCAGCCACTCCTGGCACACAGTGACACTGCCCCTGATGATTGCAGTCCTCGGACACAGAGCCAAACTGACTGCAGTTGCAGGGAACACAGCCAAGCCCAGTAAGCAGCCCATAATATCCATTCTGTTGGAGAAGAAATAAATAGATTTGTGCTGTTTCATAAATTTTCGAAAATACTACAATATACACTCTTGTTTTCTCTTGTTTACTTCCCATGGTGTCTGACCTGCATGAATCTTGGCCAGCACTGTGGGACTGCTGTGGAAAGACTCCCTGGCATTATGTCTTCACTGTTGCCAGCTATAAAGCAATATGCCCTCGGGTGAAAAACTCAACCCTGAAATGTTCTCACAGCACTTAATCTCACAAGCAAGACACTATGAAGTTTGAAGTTTGATGTTACTCTAATTTAAAGACTTGCATGAGGTGAGGGTGGGCTGTGCTGCTCAAGCACAGATACCTGCGACTATGAATGAAAGCCTAGAACAGGGCAGGTCAGTGACCCAGTGGACATGTGTGCTCAAAGTCATTCAGCTGGGCTGGCACAAAAGGCAGTAACTGGGCACAGATTTCCTGCTCTGGTCTCTGATGTAGTTCTACACTTAGCATACACTGGAAACTGCTGGTTTGTATCACCAGTGAATATCTGCTTGTTGCTATAACAGGCCTGCCTTTCAGCTGAATCCCTTGTTGGCATTCAGCCATGATGTATGTATTATCACCAACCACATTTCTTCAGATATTCCCTACTCAGACTTCATTTTACAGAAGCACAGCTCTAAGATCCCTCCAGGTTTGTTAACAGTGTTTGGTTTGGTTTTTGACTGCACACTGTCAAGCACCAGCCTGAACAGCCCTATGCAGGAGGGTGCTGAGTCAATTAAATAGCTTCACATCTGCGACGAGCACATGCAGAGCAATTTTCAGCCACAAAAACCTCAGCAGACAAACTCTGGTCTCCACTCCATAGGCCTCTCTCCCCAAAACCTGTTTGTTGCTATTCTCTGTATCTGCTCAAATCAAAATCTATAGATAAGGAGGAAGACAAGAAAATCTGTACATGAGCAACAGGCAATGTATCTGCTTACCAAGCATTTATCACATCTTTCTCCAATTACATTTGATTTGCAGGAGCAGATGCCTGTCTCGTGTTGACAAGTACTTGAAAGGGAACCATTCACGTGGCAGGCACAGGCTTGTGTTCAGACAAAAAGAAATCAAATTAAAAAGTTATTCATGTGTACCTATAGGCATTCATTATTATACAGAATTTAAAACCTGGTATATGATGCGTTTAATCTGTTTATATCCCACAGATGCTAATATATCACAGAAATGCCTGCGCATTTGGACTAAAACTTAAACCAAAACAAAACACCTCTGAATAGCTGTATTTGAAAAGTTTTGTTCTTCCAGTCCTATATGTGACATTTGGGAGTAGGAAATGTGTCCAGCATGTCACTGGAGGGACAGTGTTAAGCAAACCAATAAGTTCTAGGGATACCAAATATAAAACCCTAACATAATACATTCCCCTCCCTCAGCCTAACCCAGCCCTAGAATTTTCAACCTGCACTTGCCAACTCACAATTTGAAGGTTAGGTCTTCCAGAAAATGTGCACATCACCATCCATTTTACACAGGAACTACATTTTTGTGTTCTTTAAATGTAGAGAGTAATAAAAATAACAACTTACCACGACAGTTTTTGTCAATCACTGCATCCCCATAATACCCATCAGCACACTTTTCACAGTGGTGACCTGCTGTGTTCCCCAGACATTTCAGGCACTGTCCTGTGAAGGGATCACAGTGGCCCTCTTCCTGAGGGTTGACATTGCCATTGCATTCACAAGGAGCACACGACTGTCCAGCCATAAGAGGATTCCCATAGTAACCATTAGCACACCTGCATCAGAATTTAAAAACTTTGTCAGCTGGAATGTGGTCATGTCATACACTCACACAGAATCACACAATCACAGAACAATGAGGTTGGAAGAGACCTCTAAGATCATTGAGTCCAACTTATGCCCTAACACCTCAACTAGACTATAGCACCAAGCTCCTCACTGAAGGGAGTTTTTCCTGTTAAATTTTAATCTAAAGTGTCTCCGTATTACAATGAAAGACAAAATAAGAAGGAAAGTGTTATTAGGAATGTTCTGTACATGTGGTATGAACAATACAAGGAAGACAGGATAATGAACACCTAGTGATGGCAATGATACAGATGTTTCACCCAAAATTAGTGTACATACCTTTCACATTGAGAACCAGTATAGCCTGGAAGACATTTGTCACAGACAATTCCACCTTCCTCACTCAGCTGGCAAGTGGGACTGAAACTAGTAAGAATATTTATGGCAGTTGGCATCAATGCACAGAATCACAAGACTTCTGCAAACATTCAATATCCACCCTTCCTTGCACGTTGCTATATGAACCCACAATTGCAATTTTTCCTAGTTTATCAATGCTTTTAACATTAGAATGTGTCAAAATAAATGTATAATTTTCAAAAGCACTTGGGTTTTTTCATTTGAAAAGCAAGATTTTAAAACTTCCTAAAATTTGGCTTTCATTCTAGCAAAGCAGTAAAATTGCTGTGCCGAGTTCCTTCTTTTTCAGATAAAACACTTCTGTCCTTCTACTGTTTTCTGAAAAAACAAGGAAGATAACCATGGTTTTGGTGCAAAGTTCAAGGACAGGTTGAACTATTACTTTCATCCACCATGCAAAATCACACCAGTTCACTCAGCCTCTCTTAGCCTAGTCAATATATTTGTCTACATTGAAAAACAATGTTTCTATTATATATACACAAACAAAGATGAAGAAAAAAAATTCCTTTTCTCTCTCCTTCAGATGTCATGACTTTATCTCGCTTTCTGTTTCTGGTTTTGCTGAAGATGCAAAAGACAGTCTTGCATAAGAAGCTTACTTGTTTGCAGAAGAACTCAGAGGACATGCGCAGGGCCGGCAGTCCTCAGATGTTCCTTGGGATGGATTTCCATAGAAGCCAGGCAAGCACTGATCACAGAAAGGTCCTGTTGTGTTGTGTTGACAAGCCTGTGAGACATGGAAAAAATCTTTTTGTATTTTCTCTTGATGGTTTTTCAGCCTCTGAGGGATTCCTACAGCAGTCTGCATGCAGTATGACATCCAAGGAAGCCATTCTTCAAGACATGAAGAACTGCCTAGAACTCTGAAAATAAGTGTTTGATTTTTTTTTTCTGAGTTATGACAATCCTGATTGGTTTTTCCTACATTTTAGAATATACTTTATGAAACCAGCCACATTACTTATACACATACTTAAATGTACTTCACATATTGCACACACTTGCAGTAACAAACTTATATAGTTTTTACTAGTGTTTAGCCATTTTATTCCAGTAACCTTTAATTTTCAGAAGAGATCTGAGAGCTAAATTTTCTCTTCGCAAGGTAATGTGCAATTTCCACTGGTGTTAGTCATGGAAGATGCACATATATCTGAAAACAAATATTCACCGCTTAAATTTGTTCTTTTGAGGAACCTGCAGCAAGCAAAATCAGGATTCTTATCAGCCAGTATATGATGGCATTTTTCTATGAGTTCTGACTATTCCCCACTTGAAATGATAAACTGAAACAAATTGTTTATTGGAAAACACAATAATGGAGTCTTGAAACATACTCTGAACTAAACAATGAAAACCAACAAAAATAAACACTTGGCACCCATAGCTTGAAATTACGCACACTGTAAACTTGTCTCCCCCAGTCAAAATGCTCTCTTAACTCCTAAATAGATGCTTAAAAGGCAGGACACTTTGAAGGATGACTTACAAAGCAAACACCGTGAATGTCACACTCAGTTGCATGCCCATTGCACTTGCAGGGCTGACAAATACCTCCAAAGAGTATTCCATCCACACGGTAGTACCCAGGGAGACAGGACTGAGAGGAAATGAAGGAAGAAAAAGCAATAGCATTATGTGTGTTGAAAATACACATCAGAATTTTTCAAAGAGTGCACTTCCGACCACCCACCATCCAACCCATTCACACTGTGGTAACTGAATGCTCTTTCAACCCTATTGATGTCACTGTAGCTCTTTTCTGGTAGCTGTTTTTTACTTGCACTGGATAAAGGGGATAAGAATTAACTCCATAAAACTTTGATTCATCCCTTTGTTCCCTGAAGGCATGAAAGTTAACTTTTGTGTGGTTTAATATGTGAAATTCCTTATTATGGGACAATAGAAAAGATATTCTACCACCTCTACAGAATCATTAACAATGCTATAGCACAATTTCAGTATTTTCATACTGAAATTATTTGTCAAAATAGTTCCTGCTATTCTGCAGTAGGACTGTGCCTCTCTAAATCTTCTATTCACAGATACACAAGACACCACCTTGCACAATGCATTTCACCCTTGTGGGTTCTTCCAAAAGCTAGCATTCCTCCCTGCTAAGGTTCCTTATTGCCCCCTTAAACTTAATGGCACATAACAGGAATAAACTGAACATGATCCAGCTCCAGAAAAAGTGCTATTAATGAGTAAGGTAAGCTCAGAATAGCTTCACAGAACTTTAACAGCTGCTCCCTCTGAAACACGGATTCTGAAGCACATCACCATTTTTTGTGCCATGAAAAAGAATTCCAGAAATAAGTTTAAAATCACACTTAGAGTATCTGAAAGAAAATACCTTCAGGATTGCATAAAGTATAGTAGGCAGCAATTCACCACATAACAAACACTATAATAGCAGTTTAATTAAAGATAGCCTGCCCTTAAACCTAGATCCTTTACAATAGGAGATAATTTTCCATACACAAAATACTGTAAGAGGTTACCTCGCAGGATAATCCTGTGTAACCCTGAGGACATTCACAGAATTCCACATCTGGTGCTGAAGAGAGATCTATAACATTTGCATTTGCAGTATCCAAGGTCACAGAGTCCAGCCTAGGGTTAAGCAGGAAAACATCACATCATTCTTTTCAGCAGACTTGATCTTCAGCAGCACAGTTTGCTTCTGGGGAGGTAACACCAGTGAGCACTGCTCCCCGGCAGGGACAACTGAGGAACAGTCACAAATCTCTTCCAAGAAGTCTGTGATCTTACTCTTACCACAGAATTTCCTGGGGAGGTAACACCAGTGATCACTGCTCCCCGGCAGGGACAACTGAGGAACAGTCACAAATCTCTTTTCCAAGAAGTCTGTGATCATACTCTTATCACAGAATTTGCCAGTTTCTCCTGTTATCATTATTGTTACTGGAACAGGCAACCTCCTCAGTCACAGGTGACATTTTTATAAGAAATCTTTGCAAACATTCCATAAAGACAAACATGCTATCCCTAAATAAACATAGATTTCACCAGAGTGGTGTGGGTGCACAAAGTGAATTTGTTATCAGTTCCTATTTTATTGACACGAAATACTACCAAATGACAGGATAGTCACAGAATATTTTGAGTTGAAAGGGATCATCAAGTCCATCTCTTAAATAAATGGCCCATATGGGGATTTGGATCCGTAATAACACTAATTAGCACCATGCTCTAATTAGGGAATGAGGAAGAAAGGTTGTCAGTGAGTGTAAGGAAATTAACTAAGTAAATGAATGAAGCTGATTCCCTTGAGAGCAATACAACTTTTTTCCTGTATCTCAAAGAAGAGGTGAAACTAAGATCTGTAAGGTCTGACACAGATACTGCCAAGGCTGCTTTGAGACTATGGAATGATCAGCTAATCCATTGCAGCCTAATTTTCCTATTAAGAACTCCCTTAGAGAGGAGTCTCAATAACATCCACAAACAAGCATCAAAAGAAATTACAATCAATGTCTTTATTGATAGGTTTTCAATAGGCAGTGATGGATTAACTTGCCACATACTCAAATAAGCATACTGTAGGGAGTTCTGGAGGCATTTCCCCTTAAAAAAGCAGCTATTGCAATAAGACTTTTATGCACTATTACTTTAAAGCAGAAGACAACAATATCTCTGCTATGAGATATCATTAAAATCAAATGTCCCTTACCACACAATCTATACGACTGTGTTTTGGGGACAAAAACTGGTCTTAAGAAAATTCAATAAACATCATTTTTCCTAGAAACTATTAACATAAAACTTCAGGAATACTTCCACAAAGAATCATTATTCATATGCAGAAAAATAACAGAAGTATATAGATTAACTTGAATATTTTATCTCACTTACCTGTACACAGCCTTTTTGGCAATGTTGTAGTTGGCCCTGATCAGAAGATGGGTCACATTTGCCAGAACAGTCATCAACATTTCTCGGTCTATTGCTTTTTTGGTATTAAACTCTATGAAATTGTCTGATACAAGTCTCACTGAATTAGAATACTCCTCATATGGCTGTAATGACAAGCCCGCTGCTCTTGTACTCAGAATCTGCCCGTTACCCTGAAATTGAAGGACAAAAGAAAACATTTTCCATATATGCATGTAAATTTTATTAAGCAATAACATTTAGTGTCAAATACACATCCATGTAACACAGAGAAAAGGCAACCAAATTAAATTCCTTGCATTAAGAAAAAGTAAGTAAAAGGCCAACATTTTCTGTGGCTTCAAGACCACACTCCTGTTCTCTCTTGGTTCAGAGACTTCAGAGTTCATTTGTAAAATAATAAACAGAATTGCAAAAATCAAATACCTCTACAAAACAGAATTTCCTTTCTTCTTTGTTCTATTGCTAAGTACATCTAAAAAATTGGTTTTGGAGATGCCTGGATTCAGCAGAGAGCCTTACTTTTTAATTGCAACATAAATCTAGAAAAGTAAGCAATCAGCAAGAAAACTCACTTGTTTCATAAGCATAAGTCTTTCCAGTTTATTGCAGTTTGTTTTGTAAACACAGCTTTGTACATTTGGTAATAAGCAACTCACCCATATACACACAGATTAAATTCTAAGTATTTAGCATTTAAAACTAGTATGGTATACCCACAACTTCAGACAAATGGATTAGAAAATCAGAGAAATGAGTAGTAATAAAATTTTGATAGTGACATTTAAGGGACTTAAAACTGACAAATCTACTACTATAGAAATATTATTTTATTTTTTAACTCTTGCATAGATTCTTAATAACGCCTAAATAGTAACAAGCTGAAAAAAATCTACCTGAATGATGACATCCACACTAGACACTATATCACTGTCCACACTCTCCATTGGAATGTCATAGGATACCGTATACTTCAAGTCTCCACTAAAAGCTGTGAGCTGAAATAACAAAAAGCAAAGTCTTAACAACAAAGTCTTAAAGCAAAGTCTTAACTTCCAGCCAACACCAAGAAATTACATGGGTCAGTACAATGTCCATATTACAAGACAATTGTAGGATTACAAATACCACTTTAGAGAAAAAGTTTAGCATGCCATGAGTGTCAGCACAGGGACAAGAGCTGGCTTGTTGCTGTGCAGGTGGTGAGAGCTAGCTCAAGGCTCTACAGGTGATTCAGATAAGTGCCCTCATTCAATGAAACACTAACAGGACTCTGATCAGACAGCTGAGGTGTATGATATCATCCTACCCAAGGGGCACAGCATGCTGGAGTTTTTCTCATTCCATACACCACCTTTCAGGGTCCTTAGCCCCACACCTGCTGCTGACTGCTACAAAGTAAGTTAACAGTTAGACCTATATTAAATGAATAAGAAATCAGAATTTGAGTGAGTGTTGCCCTGTGCAAAATCTGCTCCTTAATGTTACACTTCTTACACTTGTTTTCATTTACTCTGTCACTATACTAATAATAAACACAGCTGCATGGGCAGAGAGAGTGGACTGAAAATAATTACAGGTAAGGCTGCAAGGATCTCCTCTGCTCACCTTTGATCACCAAGGATCTCCTCTGGTGAGGCCACAGCTGGAGTTCTGACTCCAGTTCTGAGCTTCCCAGTACTAGAGAGAGGTGGACATACTAGAAAGAGTCCAGCAAAGGGCCACTAAATGATTAAGAGCCTGAAGCATCTTGAATATGAGGAAAGACCAAGAGTAGCAGGACTGTCCCACCTACAAAAGGCTCAGAGAGATCTTATCAATATATACAAACACCTTAAGAGAGGGTGCAAAGAGGATGGAGCTGCGCTCTTTTCAGTGGCGCCCAGTGCCAGGAAAAGAGGCAATGACCACAACCTGAAATACAGGAGGTTCCTGCTGAACATCAGGAAACATTTATTGTGAGGGTGCCCAAGCAGCGGCACAGGTTGCTCAGAGAGGTTTTCCAGCCAACACCAAGAAATTACATGGGTCAGTACAATGTCCATATTACAAGACAATTGTAGGATTACAAATACCACTTTAGAGAAAAAGTTTAGCATGCCATGAGTGTCAGCACAGGGACAAGAGCTGGCTTGTTGCTGTGCAGGTGGTGAGAGCTAGCTCAAGGCTCTACAGGTGATTCAGATAAGTGCCCTCATTCAATGAAACACTAACAGGACTCTGATCAGACAGCTGAGGTGTATGATATCATCCTACCCAAGGGGCACAGCATGCTGGAGTTTTTCTCATTCCATACACCACCTTTCAGGGTCCTTAGCCCCACACCTGCTGCTGACTGCTACAAAGTAAGTTAACAGTTAGACCTATATTAAATGAATAAGAAATCAGAATTTGAGTGAGTGTTGCCCTGTGCAAAATCTGCTCCTTAATGTTACACTTCTTACACTTGTTTTCATTTACTCTGTCACTATACTAATAATAAACACAGCTGCATGGGCAGAGAGAGTGGACTGAAAATAATTACAGGTAAGGCTGCAAGGATCTCCTCTGCTCACCTTTGATCACCAAGGATCTCCTCTGGTGAGGCCACAGCTGGAGTTCTGACTCCAGTTCTGAGCTTCCCAGTACTAGAGAGAGGTGGACATACTAGAAAGAGTCCAGCAAAGGGCCACTAAATGATTAAGAGCCTGAAGCATCTTGAATATGAGGAAAGACCAAGAGTAGCAGGACTGTCCCACCTACAAAAGGCTCAGAGAGATCTTATCAATATATACAAACACCTTAAGAGAGGGTGCAAAGAGGATGGAGCTGCGCTCTTTTCAGTGGCGCCCAGTGCCAGGAAAAGAGGCAATGACTACAACCTGAAATACAGGAGGTTTCTGCTGAACATCAGGAAACACTTATTGTGAGGGTGCCCAAGCAGCTGCACAGGTTGCTCAGAGAGGTTGTGGAGTCTCCATGCTTGGAAATACTCAGAAGCAGGTCTTTGATTGTGGTACTGGTAAACCTGTTCTAGGTGTCCTTACTTGAGGACAGAGTCTGAGCAAGATGATCCCCAGAGGTCCCTTCCAACCTCAAATATTCTGTGATTCTGCTGCAAAAAACTGGGACACCCGGAGCTTTAGCTAGTAAACAGGGAAAAAATTAAAGACTAGTTATTTGGAAACAGAAGATGGCTAAGAAGCAGGCAAGAGATTTTAATGGTTCCATCTACTGTTATTGGGCAAGGCATTAAGGGTGTAAGTTTTGGGGTAGGAACCAAGTGCACGGGAAATATGAGCATATAAATCAGTAACAGTCAAGAGAGATTATATTGTGTCAAGGATAGGCCTGGAAGGAAGTGGAGAGATGGATGAACTCAAAGTGCAAAAAGAGGGTACTGGGAATGTCTGCGCAGGAGCACCCTGATTTAAAAAGCAGAGATACAGTGAGAAGTTTGGTAATACTGAGCTTTATGTGTAATCTTTAATTAAAGAAACTACATATTTAGAGCAAAACAGGTTATGGTTAAGACAGAGAACCTATGAAGGAGTTTTGACACTTAGCTGAGTACTTACTTTATTTCCTAGATATGCCTCAGGTGCTGACCAGTAATAAGTATTTTTCAGTACTTTCACAGCCTCAGTGTTGTTAATACTTATTTGATGGGGTCCATCAAATTGGCTTCGCTGAGGCTGTACACTTCTTGCTTTGTACAGATCAGTAACAAGCCATCCAGTCATGTCTGAAATCTGCAAGAGTGGTAATATCAATGGCAGTCAGGCAGTTGTGTTACTGAGAAAGCATTCACCTCTTCCTAGATAGTCATTCAAACTGATGGATCTAGAACACTTCCATTAGATTAGTTGGTATCAAGTATATGCAAATATGCCAGTTCAGACTAGGATGGTCTCCACCTCTCTATTTGACAGGAACAAAAATATAATGAATGTGATTTTCATACTTCCAACAAAATTAACATTATAGCTATGCAGCTTCCTGAGATAGAAATGCATAATTTCAAAGGCTTCAAGGCCAATTGCCCCCATTTATAGATAGGGCTGAGCTGGAGGAAAGCAAAACTACAGTCCCAGAAGAGGGACCAAGATGAGAGAACTTTGTTCTTTTCACAGAGTTTTATTCAATCATCTTAGAATTTCAGTCAATTTGATATGTTTTCCTCCCTTTTTGTTGCACACAAAACAGAAGGTCTAAGTGTGGCTAGCTCTGCAAAGATACATAAGGAATTTAGTGGGAAAAGAGTGGCTGCAAAGCCTCATAACTCAAGAACTGTCTAATCAGAAAACAGTGATATTTATAAACACTGTTTGCTAAGAAACAGTATTGTCCATATTGCAAGAGGCCCAACAGCCTTGTCCATTAGGTATAAGAGCAAGGAAACAGTTTTGGGTTTACCTGTTCAGCATGAAAAAAAACTTTAACAGTCAGAAAAAAAATACTTTTTTCCAATGCATTATGGCAGCCTTCACTACCCAATGCTTCTGATACTACTGCTAGCCAGCAGGGCCAAAGCCTGCCCTTGCTGACTACCTCAGAGCTGCCCAACGATACTGAAAATCCATTCCTCTGTAAGGAGAAACACACCAGAATTTGAAGTTAACCTGGGCATATGTCAAAGAGAAATACAGTACATTTTGCAGCTGCTTGAAGAAAGAATATTAGGTCATGGACATAACATTTAAATACCTGACTGACAGGCCATGTAAGACTGTCACAGACATCAGAAACACCAAAGCAAAAACACTCCGTGCAGCCTTGAGGATTTCTTTCTTGCAAATTGTAGAATCCTGGTTTACAGAGATCACAGTTTTCACCTTCTACATTTTCCTGTCAAAGGCATATAACATTTGGTTCACATCAGCATTATTATGGTAACAAATACCATGGATTAGGTGGGATTTGGGCATAACAGCATTCAGAAGGTTGTAAAAGAAAACACATTTCAGCACAGCAGGATTATTGAATAAGACTCAGAGCTTAAAACTGAAACTGATTGGAAAAATTCATCAGAATTTGCCAGTTCATCAAAATCGAAACAAGCCCCAGCAACGGTTCTATTGTAGTAAAATTTCAACACACAGACAGGGTTTGAAAAGCTTCGCTAGCTTGCCAGTCTACTTCTATTGTGGCTTGACTTTGTAGATTGCTCTGGAGAAAAGATCTCATATTTTCTGAACACAGATTACCTTTCAGATATCTCACCAGACAGAATCCAGAAAGCTCACCTTTAAGGCCAGGCTCTAGGAGCCACCACAGCCAGCTTCAAGTTTCTCAGCCATCTCTTAATATTTATGCTCTGATGCCCACTACTGCTGCCACCTCTTCCTGGAAGAGCACCCCACTATGACAGCTAGCAATTCTCCCACCCAATATACTCTGGCTAAGGTCCAGAAACTCCTGCTCCAGAAGTAGAGATGCTCCACTCCTTTAGCTCCTTTCATTGGTATTCTGCCATGCAAATTGGGTAGTTCAGAGCACACAGCTACAAACCTCTTTCAATGCAGAATTTACAGGGGGAAAAAAAAATCCAAATCCCAATATTCTATTCTCGTAAAATTTGTGCAGCAAATATGCGCCTATTTCTTAAAAAAAGTTTAGACAATTGCTGCTGGCAAACAAACCAGCAGAGAAAATATTTTATAAATACCCACAATGCTGTGTAAATAGCAGATCTCCATGGGCATTTCCACACACTGAGATACAGAACATTTCCTACTGACAGGGACAAGATTCTTATAATGTCCTAGCTTCGTATCAGGAGAAGATCTGAACACACAGCACTCTCCAATCTCAACCTTTGGTTTCACTACACTCCACTACAAAGGCAAAAAGAACTTTACAGAACACCTCACAAAGTTCCCTGATACATATAGTTAGGACACTAAGACTGCAAGGCATCCATGTGAAGAACTGTCTTACTGTTTTGAGGAGGCCTATACAAGCTCTGCATTGCCACATGAAATGCAAAGTCTGTAGACCAAAATCTGATTTCAGAAGCAGTTAGCAGGGTACCTTCACTTCAGCGACAGGAATCACTCCAGATTGCAGAGTTATATCAGATCTGGTCCTGTGATCTGGTCCAGATCTGGAGCATATTTCAGGCTTACCAGAGAGAAATCTGAGACTTCCAACTGTCTTTTCTTCTAGAACAGTGTTTGGCATGTCAAGATTACATAAAACCTCTCTAGCCAGATTAGGTCTTTTGGTAAGCAAAGTACAACCTGTGTTTGCAAAGCATATTAAAAATTTATGATCTCCAGTTCTGATTCAAAGTTTGAGGATGGCTGCTTCTATTTGTTCAAATGCACATCTGGGAAAAATCTCAGGCAAAGTGCCCCCTGAGATAATGAGAACTTAAAATCTTGGATTTTTACAGAAATAGTATTTGTATGCTCTCTTCAGTTTTTTTATTTCTCAGTCTTCAGGATGGATTTGGATCACACATTTCACTGTCTAACATTATTAGACACAAATTGTTTATTTCTTAATGAAAAACAAAAATCTTACACAATGACTAGACCTCAAGAGCTACGTTTCAGGAAAGACCAAATATGACAAAATGCACTATATAAAAAAAGAATAGAGTCTGCAAAGGCTTAGAAATCCCATCTCCTTTGTTTGATATTTGGAGTGCACCACTTCTCTCCTTTGATCTCCGTAGGTGGTCCCACTGGCTGGTGACACTCTTTGTGATCCGGCCTAAAAATTCTGTATGCCAGGCTTGTACCCACAGCAGCTCTGAAAAGGGGCAGTTTCTAGTCCAGTTTATACCAAAATTTTCACTAGTTAGCCGCATTGCCTGATACAGTGGTAGCCTAACTCAAAATCAGGCACTTATCTCCTTTTTGTATTTAAATTGGCAATTAGAACCATTTTGTTTTTCCAGAGTCTTGTTATTTATATAGGTTTGATTTTTTGGATCAGATAAATTATGCAAAAGGAGTAAATTTTCAGAATTGTCAAACAAACCATGTTGTCTTTGGCTCCTGTTCGCTATCATATTTGGCAACAAATACATAAACTACTCCAACGTTTGGTTCAGAAAATTGAGTAACTTCTTTAAATATTAACACAGTTTTTTTAATAAAATTCAGTGGAATCTACAGCTGCAAGAAATTTTAAGGGGTTTGGATATTTACCAAAAAATAAAATGCTGCAAAACTGCTCTCTTTTTAAACATTTTTATGGTTTATATTTTGTAATTGAATAATTAAACCATATTTCATACATATGTCTAGTGCAAGTGTTCCAATAGTTCTTTCCAAATGCCTGCTGTTTCATTACACAAAGCAGATGTTTTAAACACAACCTTTGTTTACAAGCAATCAGTGGTTTTGAAGAGAAATATCAGTTCATTCCTAAAAACAAACCCAGCTACACATACTCATTCTCAGTGACTGACTGACACAGGTACAGGTTTTATTTCATTTTAATGTCAGTCTGGCCCATTATTATAGAAAATGTTGTATCAGTAACATAGAGAACTACACAACATAAATTACCATATTTTTCAGTACAGAGAATAATTAGTAGTTTAGAGTTCTAGACTGTCAGGTGTACACCAGGTTACATCTTATAAAGGAAGTGATGTCCCCAGTAAATGAAGTAAATGAAATTTCACTATTAGAAAGGAGTTAATAAACCACAGATTCCATGTTGAACAAAAGTGGAAGTTTAGTACTCACTTTGCAAAGACAAGGCTCCGTGCATGGATCTTCATTGATGCTACCAACCAGGCTGCAGTTACAGCGCAGGCAGTTTGGGTAACCCCGATACCCAAATGCACAATGATCACATTTTTCTCCTGCATAACCTTCCCTGCACTGGCACTGGCCTGGCCAAGTGCCTTGAATAGCAAAAATAGAGGGGAAAAAAAAACATCAGAGCAGGCAATAGGCTGGATTCAAAATGTCTCAGAGGGTACAAATAATTTAGCATTGCTTTTTTATTACACTCCGTGTCATATTCTGCAGATACTTGGCAAAAGGTCAGTCTCACCATCTATTTTTCACATTTAAAGAATCAAATGCACAGAAATTGCAGCAAAATTAATTTTGTTCCAGCTGTAACAGCATTCACAACAACTGTGTTAGATGTCAACACCTCACACTGTTTTACACAGCAGGAGCCCACAATCCCCACAGGAGAACATGTTCAGGGACCTGACATACCTTAAAATCATGAAATTACATTATACCTCAGCCTCACCTTCCCAAAGATTTACCAGTGTTTTCAAGTGGTATCTAAAAGGCAGCCATTCAAAGGTAGACAGTGTTCCCTCAACTTCCGTTACCTCCAGCCAGACTTGAAGTTTAGGGAAAAGTCACTTGCTGTTTCCTTACCACGCTGGGAGTTAGAATGGTGCTCATCTTTAACACAGACAGAACTCAGAGAGCCAAAAGGGTCGCAGTCACAGGGATAGCAGGGGTGATCCTCATAGGGAGAAACCTGTAAAATAAAAGTTCACTGGCAAATTCTCAAATTATTAACCGGGAACAGTAAAATTACATCTGTTTCCTGTCTTCAATCACCAAAGCTAAAATGAATAAAGACTGGAAAAAGATAATATGGGCAACAGATAAAGGGACTAGTCTAACTTTAGCAAGCAGAAGGATCAGAGGATTAGAGTCCAGAAAAAGCTTAAATGTGGCAACAAATGTTGATCTTCAATAGCACAAAGATACAGTAACTGCTAATGGCTGGAAGCTGAAGTCTGACACATCCAGCATAAACAGACTTTTTTTTAAGGTAACAGCAATTAACCACTGTGAAGGTTTGCCAAAATATATGGAAATGTTTAAGGAAATGTTTAAGACAAGAGTGGATGCTTTTTGCAAAGACATTCCGGTTCAAAGAGGAAGGAAATTAAAGAAATCCTTGGCTCTGTGTTCAATGGAAGGGCAGCTTATCTATTAATAAAGACTCATTCTAACTTCATGATCTATAAATCTTTGAAATATACGGCAGTGCAAATCATATGGCAAGATTTTATTTTTTGCAGGGAAAACTGTCCTTGGAGGTGCTTCAGCTCTAAAGCAAATCAGTAATGACCTCACATTTAATGGCTATGAGTTGATCAAAGACCTTTCTTCAATGCTTCTTACAGCAAATCTAAGACAATTTCTGATTCCAATTTACTTCTTGGGATGAGCTGTACCTGCTGTGTACCTATACTCCTATGGACTCACACTTGCTCTCTGCACCAATTTATGCCAGATTTTAAAAGTATGTTTTTTCCAAAATATGCATGAACCTACCAAAGCAAGACCATGTGGAGCAGAAATTTAGTTCAGAGTGTCTCATTATACAGAGAACTCTAACACTGCAGTGATAGGTAATGTTAAGTTATATAAGTTCATATGTTTAACTCTGTCAGCCACATCTTAATAAATGCCTTGTAGAGTTTATGCCCTTTTTCCAAAGACTGACACTGGAAAGTACACTCAGAGCACAAGTTCTGCAACAATCATGTCAAGAAGAGCATTTCTTGCAACCTCTTAGGAGCTAAAGATTTTGATCTTCGAGCCAGGTCCTTTTTAATGCTGGTTGAAATAGGCTGATACAAGATCATACACAATTTTGGAGGCAGTGAAACTTTAGTACTTTGAACCTTTTTAGAGCTTTACCCACATGAGAAATGGATTTCTTATCAGACCACGTCCATTTCCACACTAGGATATCAAGTGTCATCTTCACTTATAATTTCCTTCTCCAACATTTTGACTTGCCCTCCTACACAACTGGACAAGCATCCTGTTTTTTTCTGAAAGTTTTGGCATTAAGTAATTTACAAAAAAAACCCTCTATAGTTCTTAGCCATTCTGCAACTAATAAAAAACCAATATATTCATCACAATCAGCTGAAATAGGCATGAGACCATGTTATAGTTCATCAAAACATTAGAATGGTATTTTCTAAATCTTACTTTGTGTGGTCTAAAATATCCATCAGCACACATTTCACAGTTGATCCCAGTAGTATGTTGAGTACAGTTTAAACACACACCACCTCCTATAAACTGTCCATGAATATCCATGCTCCTTTTCTGATCTGCAATACTCTGGTTGTAATAGCAATCTTCTGTTTTGTTATGACAGTTACATTCTGAGAAGGAACGGAAAAGAAATCAAGTTTTTTTCTTATTCACACTGTGTAACATTTCCTATTATACTGACATTTTTCAAAGTTGAAAATGTAAGTAGAAGAGCCCACTAATTGACCTCAAAAGTGTGCTTTTCCCCTTTAAATACCATGTGCTTTGTCAGATATATTACATTTCTTAGCAAGTAAGCAAATTTCAAAACCACTGTTATAATTTTAACAGCACTGTTTTTAGCAGTATTCTGTATATCCTACTGAGACAATCTTGTCAGGACTGTTGTCAACAGTGATGTGTGCAATTAGCAGTAACTGTTCCTTCTTCTGTCCTCTGTATTACAGATGAAAACCTGCCTAACACTTCTCTTGTTTGTATTATAGACAAAATCTGAGAAGTCAACAAAGAAGTACTTAAGTATAAATTTTATTTCGTTTAAAGTGGCATTATGACTTGTGCAAAGATTTCAACTAAAAACACTTATTTTCCATCTGGAACTTTAAATTTTATCCAATAGGTTCTTACTTGTCTGCAGCTTGTGCTATGCATTAGTAATGTGAAGTGAGAAAATGCATCAACTAGCTCTAGCAACACATTCAGCCATACTGGCACAGCCTAAGTCAATCTATCAGACAATCTGAAGTGTAACTGGCCAATAAGGAGTTTCTTTCAAAACATTTGCTATCAGAGCAAAGTTCTTCATCTGACAAAATTTATGATCAATTTATGAAATTTGCACTTCAAGTAGCTAACAAAATGATTGATGCAAATGTCCTAGTTTCTACAGGAGTACAATAAATCCCAAGTCCCTTTGAAAAAGAGACTTTGGAAACTACATGACAACTCCACTAGCCAAAGAGTCACACTGAACAGATTATTGAAAACCATCTAAACATATATGATTAGAAGTAGGTTCTCTACCTCTGAACAATCCCATGAAGACAGTTAATAGTTTGTGGCTTTTTCTGGGGAATTAGTACAGATCTGTATGAAAGCAACCTCAAACAAGTGAATAGTAAGACTTCATGAAACTACCTAAATGCCTGTGCATACTTACTCTCGCATTTGTTCCCAGCAGAAAGGGTTCCTGGTCTCCATGGTTTCTGGTGATAGCCTGGACAGCACTTGTTACAGCTCTCTCCACATGTGTTGTGTTCACACTGGCACTGCAATTTCTAAGAATAAAAAATCCACTTTCTTGAAATATTTTTCAATGGACAATTTAATCAATTTTGTCAAAAGTCTGTGCAGTATCAATCTTACTCCAACAAATGGCATGACCCACAAATACCCCACAAGTGGCACTGAACTGCTCTAGCATGGTACATCAACAACTAGGGAATAGCCTTTCCAGAACAGGAGGGGCAAATCTCCTGCGCTTCAAGACAGACTATGTCTTGTGCCCCTTGAATTGTTTAAATTCAATGCCAAAGAAGAAGAGTTTACTTCAAGAAAGTTACACTTCAAAACCCAGATATGCTTGCTCTGAAAAAAAAAAAAGAAAGAAAAATATAGCAAATAATTTGTATGCATCACAGGACCTATTTTAGCTTCCTCTTTCTCATTCTCCTTAGGATTTTTTTTGTTATTTTAATTGGAAAAGTTGTTTTGCAAAAATAATGAGATTAAAAAATACCTTTGTGATTTCATCCAAAGGGCAGCTTCGAGCGTGGCCATAACAAATACACATGCCACCAACAGAGATGTCCTTTATTGAATAGTAGTACTACAAAAAAAAACAGGTGAGAAAGGTATGAATAAAAGACATTTACATGTGTTTACATTTCCCTGCCCTACTCTGCAAAATAAAATGCCAGCATTCAACTGCTCTGTGTAAATAAAAGAAATACTTTAAAACATTTGCCATTTGGGGAAATCTTCCATTTTTGCGGTTTTTATTTTTCCCATGTTTTTCCCTATTGGTAGGAAACACTAACTGACTTTTAACACTTTAGTGTGTCTGTAAAATTCCTCAGCTTTGAGAAAGACCACCAAATGTGACCTCAGCCAAAATGTACTTGCAAAATAAATAAATAAATAAATAAATAAATTTTCACTTTACAAGAAGCCATAAAGCATAAAAAATTACCATATTTTAGAGTCAGTCTAGGGACTAAGCATATACTTCCTTAAAATGGGAACTCTTCATCCCTTAAAACCACTTTGCACACTCATTTCCAGAGCAGCTCTTTGCAACTTCTTTGTAGCCAGTGAAATATTCTATCCAAACTCTTAGCTTAAAACTTGCGGATACAGCAGAATACTATCCATTAATATTGCCAGGTGGTGAGCAGAAACAACATACATAAGGAAAGGATTTAATTTTCAAGGCAAAGAGGAGGCAGGAAATGACCATCTGGGCTCAGTTACAGCTGCAATATCAACATGGTTGGCTTGTTTGTATCCTGGGAAGTATGTACTACAGGGGAATGAAAAAGAAACTCTTTTTGAGGATACTTCTAAGGGAAGAGTTCAATGCTCTCAGACCTAGCAACCCCAATGTCAGCTGGTTCAGGAAGAGAGGTAGCCCTGGGTGGTCAGACATGCTGACTCCTGGACTGTTATTTCTTCGAAGGCTCCTGGAGTTGGAGCAAACTATCTTCTTTGATTTAATAATTATTTTTTTATGGTCTTAAATTTCATATGTTCACTATTTTGGGAGGATTTTTAATGTTATCGGCTTGAACTACAAAAATCATTCAGAGACTTACCATGAACAGTAAGTCCTAAACTACAAAGAAGAAAGTTCAGGCTGAGAAAGCAAGAGGACAAAAGCAGAATTTAATTTCTCACTGCATTCCCTACTATATCTCCTTATTTTCTTCTTATTTTCTGCCAGTGTACAGCTCACAGCAGCTGTGTGCAGCTTGGAGCTGAATGAGAGACCAGTGATAATCAAATGCTACAGACAGAAACAAATAAAAAGAACACAGAAATAAAGGTGCTGTTGAACACTCAGAATCTGAATTGGCCATTTTTCAAGACTACATACAGGAAACTAAACATAATTGGTATCAACAACCATAGCAAAGTCTTCAAAACCATTAAAAACAACATCCAAAAAAGCTGGAAGTGGTTATCTTTGTTGCAGCTGTTTGCACAACAAAGTGAGACTCAAGGTGAGACATCAGGATTTAGGAAACCTGGCCAACATGTGTAGTTCTTCATGTAAAACTGCACTAAGCAGTGCTAGGTGGAGAAGTACTAAGCCCTGGATTGCACAACTGTGTATGTTACAAAACCAGTGGCAATGCTTGGCCTTCAAATTCTTGTTTCCTAGCTGTATGTTTGTATGCTTACATGTCAAACGTTTCTTTTTGGGGTGTATGTCTTGATATGCCAATACTATCAATAGATTTAATTATCAACCAGCCTGCTCTGTGGGAACATCTCACTTCTCAGGCTGTGCATTTCCCTATTTCCAGTAAGGCACAGCTGGAGCAGCTGTCAATACTCTGCTCTAGCAGTATCAATGCTAGCAATTCCCATTGACAGAAAATGCAAACCATCCAGATTTTACACTTTACAATGCTGCAGTTGAATGGACACCTTGAAAGTGCCCACCAATCCCTGACCAAATCCAAGTTCCTTCCTCCCTTCTGTGCTCAGCTATCCAGGCAGCACAAGGATTGCCTGTATCAGAGAGTTGCCTGCAGATGTTTTTCAGGAAAAAGAGCTACAAAGAAAGGGAAGGAGGAAACACTTCTCATGTTCTCCTGTCCTCATCAGAAAGCCTACTTTCACAGAAAAACTTGAAGCCTCTGAAGTGTGAACCTATGAATCGTGGGTAAATTAAGATGGTCAAAATGGCAAGATACAAAACAGAAATCCTTTTCCAGCAGAAAAAGTGTTGAGACTTCCAATGTTAAATTTATGTGAGGACCTGAAGAATTCAGCCCAAGTGCTTGGGGCTCAGTTTCCACAGTTTCAGTATCAAATCTGGAAATCAGTTAATGCTCTCAGAATTCCATACAAACATTTTGTGTTAATTTATGAGCTCTAAAACAATTTATTATAACAGCCTTTAAAACATGAAGAAAACTCTTATAAGACATGAAAATTCACAATTGCAATTTTTTCAAATAATTATGTTTATAAACCACAGCACTGGGTACTGAAATCCATGAAACACCACACAAAGTACTGCAGTGGTGTCAAGAGCAACCCCAAAGGACATCTCCATCAGCCAAATCATATTTTGTATTTTGATGATAAAGCATTATAAACACTGCTCCTAGCACAAATCATTCACACAAACATAAATTAAAACAAAAACTATCTTGAAAAGCTTTTTCTAAAAGCTGTTTATGACAAGACATTGTTGTTAATGGTGTCAAAGGCAAGGCAAGAATTACTTAAAACCTATCAAAGCCACTCTGATGACAAGGATTAAGTACTTCTTCTCAAATAGGTCAGAATAGACTCTCCCATCAAGCTATACTGAATACCATTTATGAATAATCAGCTTACCCTTCTGGTAACAATGGGGTCTAGTTCCTTAGGATCATTATGGCTGAGAGTCATGAGGTCAGCATTCAGAGTTCTAATACGCTGCAGTCGCAGGCGAATGTATCGTGCAGACGTAAATTCCAACAGCTTCTGTGAAGGATCATCAGCACTAGGCCTACCATTGATCAGTGATGTATGAATCTGGAAAGAAAGGCTGACTTAGTCAGAAACATTGTGATTCATTTACCACAACAAACATTAGTCTGAGAATCAAAACCACAGAACTTATCTTGTTTCCCAACAACTCAGAATGGTGACACTGTTAAACTATCTGGAGTTCTTTTTATTTCCCCATTGTCTATCTGCAGGTAAAATTTCTGCTGCCTGAGTCACACTGTTCTGAAGCCACCATTATCAGCTCATCATAGTCCCAAATCTCCTGGATTTTTGTGGAGATAAAATAAGAAGAAAAACCAAGCTACAGTATCAAGATGAGTCCCTAGGTCCTGCAGTCTTCCTTCCTCTCCCTCATTGAGATAGAATATGTAACTCTGGCCAAAAGCTCAATTTTGTCCTTACAGACTTCTCCTCTGTAAATAGAAAGATCGTATTACAAAGCATAATCTGGTCCACATTCTCAATCTGGGGTCATTGATCCTACACCTAGCAGTGACAGGGCTGCACAATCAGCAAGAAGTACTCAGTAATAAGACAATGCAGTGAGAAGCTCAACACAGATGACAACTGAAAGCAAGGGGCTGCCAACACAAACCCACTCATTTGACCTGCATCTTTCTTGCTCAATTCCAGTTGGCCCCACTAAGATGACTTGTGGTATCAAACAGCTTTTTCTGCAACAGCGCCTTTCTTTTTCCCAAAGCTACTTAGGAACCCACAAGGATATAGTCCTTTATGACCACACGGTCCCTGCTCCATTTTATGTAAAAAACAGAAAAAACAAGACCCTATCCTACAGACAATGAACAAGTGTTCAACAGTTCACCTGGTGTCCATAACAAACAAAGGGTCAAGTTTTGGGCTTGTCAGCTGCATTTCAGAGTGTGTGACATATTCTCATTTATGAGGAGTAATTTTGTCTCAGAAACTAATCTTGAATTTAGTTTCACCTTTGTCCAGTACTGTCAAATTGTTCCCCTGAAAATATTCCTACATGTTATAGATTTTTTTTATTATTATTGGTTTTTGTTCTTTTTTTTTAAATCTTAATTCTCTAATGGAGATAGGGGCTCCCTATGGAGTAACTGTGTTATTTAAAAGACATACAAACAGACTTGTAATGGAGGTCACATTCCCAAAATTGTAATTCTAACATTTATTGATTACCACCATTCCTTCTTAATATTCTAACACAGCATGTTCAAAGATTTCTACTTTTCTGATAGCCCATCCATTTTTGATACCACAGAATAACAGCCATGAAAACCAAAATGTTTCCCAGGTTTCATCCTGCAAATTAGCACCACCTGATATAAAGCTCTCATAGAAATACAGAGAATTCTTCTAGTCCATTTACTTTGCTAAAGCAGGATTTATTAGACTTTTTTAGATGTTTGACCAATCTGTTTTCAAAGACTAGTGTTGGTGCTGACTTTACAACCTTCCAAGGCAATGTACTTCAGGCCTTTCCAGCTTTAATGCCAGAAATGCTCCTAATCTCTGAACCATGTTTGTCCTTGTTGCAATTTTGGAACTCTTCTTGGATCCTGTCACAGACATGCAGAAAATGTTTTTCCTCTTTGTACGCATGTTTTATGCAATTGAAGACTGAATATGTCTACCACATCTCAGTCTGTTCTCTTCAGGTAAATTGGTTGTGACATATTCATTCAGAAGTTATGTTTTCTGTTGGGAATTACAAGGCAGAATTGTTAGCCAGATATTCAAATATCACTGTTCTCCTTTTACTGAAAAAAATTTACACATATATACTCAACTATAGATGAGCACAACTTCAGCATGGGACACCACATCCTACTCTCATCTACTTTTCAGGACAGACATAGAATTTGCTGGGCTAGCTATAATCCTTTGATTTCCTCAGCAGAGAGTGCAGAATCCAACCATGGCGCTGGAATTTATAACACACTGTATTTGCTTTTTATCACTTAGACACCAGACATTTAAAGATCCAGAAATGCCTGTCCCAACCAATTGGCCATGTGTCACATGCCACTTCATTCTACATCGTCTTTCCTGCCTAATATATACTCTCACTACTCAAAAGTAGTGCCTTCAAGTGATGAAATGTAAATTATTACTCACTTTTTAACTCTGAAGGTAAAAGCTTGAACAGTAAAAAATCTACCATCTAGAAATTCTATGAGTAGAAATTCTATAACAACACACTTAAATCTTTACAGAGACTGTAGAGGAATCTTAGCAAGCAGAAAAAGGGAAAAAAAGAAAGGATACTGACCAAGTCACTAAAGGAGAAATACCATGATTCTGCTACATACACTGCTACATTTGTCTAATATATTGCTTATATAAGCTTATACATACTGATATTTCTATATTATGTATTTTTGGCTTACCTGTCCTTCATAATTCAAGACCATTTTCAAACGACTGCAGTTTAAACCTTGCAATTAATCATGAATCATAAACTGATTGTGTAAATTGCCAGAAGCAGATCTTCAAGCAGTATAAATCACACAAACAACAGAACTTACAGTCAAGCAGCTATATCTCTTCAAACCTCAGAAATATCTAGCAGCCAAACTGGCAAAATGTCAGATTTGGCAAAAAAATGTTATTAATGACAGCCATATTTAGATATGTGCTCTCTTTAGCCTAATAGTTATTTCAAGTCAAGACACTCCAAGCTGATGGCAGAAAACTGGGATACTAGCAAATGCTGGACACAAGGCAGGCGTTTACAGAGATGAGCTGGTTTTCAGGGCCATTCTTAAATGCAACAGATTGGCCAGAACAAATTACAAAGCCCTAAATACATGTATTTTTCCATAGAGTTTAAAGATTTACTAATGCAGGTTGTGAGATATTCCATGCAGGCAATACTCCTGTCTGACAATCTAGTTACAAAGGAGCAGCCTGTCCTTTGTGAATGACAGTTTTTATGCATGTGTGTTTATCTGCTGGAGGGCAGGAAGGCTCCCCAGAGGGATCTGGACTGGCTGGATTGCTGGGCTGAGGCCAATTGGATGAAGTTCAACAAGGTCAAGTGCTGAGTCCTGCCCTTGGGTCACAAGAACCCCAGGCAGTGCTAGAGGCTGGGGCAGAGCGACTGGAAAGCTGCCCAGCAGAAAAGATCCTGGCAGTGCTGGTTGGCAGCAGCTGAACCTGAGCCAGCTGTGCCCAGGTGGCCAAGAAGGCCAATGGCATCCTGGCCTGGATCAGCAACAGTGTGGCCAGCAGGATCAGAGCAGTGATTTTCCCCCTGTACTCAGCACTGGTGAGGCTGCCTCAACTCCTGTGTTCACTTCTGGGCCCCTCAATCCGGGAAGGACACTGAAGTGCTGGAATGTGTCCAGAGAAGGGCAGCAGAGCTGGTGAAGGGTCTGGAGCACAAGTTCTGTGGGGAACAGCTGAGGGAGCTGGGGGTGTTCAGCCTGGAGAAAAGGAGGCTCAGGAGTGATCTTATCACTCCCTAACCTGACAGGAGGCTGTATCCAGATGGGGGTCAGCCTCTTCTCTCATCAAGTGACAGAACAAGAGGAAATAGCCTCAAATCGTGCAAGGGAGTTTTAGATGGGAAACTAGGAAAGTTTTTTGGCATGGAAAGGATTGTCAAGAATTGGAGAAGGCTGCTCAGGGTAGTGATGGAGTCACCATTCCTGGAGGGACATGAAGATGTGTCACTTTAAGAACATGGTTTAGGGGTGAACTTGGCAGTGCTGAACTCATATAGTAGGACTCAATGACCTTAGTCCTTCTTAGTAGGACTAATAGTTGGACCCAATGACCTTAAAAGTCTTTTCCAACCTAAAAGATTCTGAGATTCTCCATAGAAGGCAGAAATTTAATTCTTCCAATTTTTTCTGTTATATTTTTCCATCACCACACTCAGGAAAAAAAAAAAAAAAAGCAGTGTTTTGATAGTGTAGCCAAATTAACTATATGTACCATCAGAAAAAAAAAGAATGAGGAAAAAATGTCACTAAATTGAATTTCTGGCATCCGTGGAGCTGGAGTTGTATGGCCTACTAAATGTACATTATACGCAGCACTGTTCCTATACAGTCAACCTCCTATACAGTCAATAAGGGTTTTCTGGTTAATTTTGTGGAGAGACAGATTTAGGTTTCTTTGTTCCATCTGATTTGTCAGTTTTATGTTGATTTTATATTGATCACATGCTCAAACATTGCAATAAATATTTTATTAAAGTAATTATAAGTTTACTGAATTTCACTAGTTTTTTTCTTGCCGTTAGTTTTAATTTCACGTGAATGGCTACATACAGTCCAATCTTTTTTTTAACCAAGAAATAAAAACATATTGATTTCTATGAAGCTAGGAGTTACTAGCACTCTCCGTGGGATAACGCCACACTTATTATCATGATCATATATTATAGCCTTCATGATGGAATAACCACTGGTTTTAATGTATCATTTCATTGTGTGACTATCTCTCTGTAATAAATTACACAAGTACCGTGAATAGATTTTGTTAAAAGAAAGAACAATCAACAGCAAGACTGCACAACTCGTAGCCCTTTTAATTATGCTACATCCTTGAAACAATGCCAAGGCTTGTTTAGGAGTTCCAGCTGTGCTGAGCACGTCAACAGTGTTAGCTGCTTTATCTCACACAACCAGGTGTTCCTAACACAGGAGTTTTCTCTACTAAATGAAAAAACTGGCAGAACACAGAGCCTCTGTTATAGTTTTTCAGGATAAAGGAGCTAATAATTCACAGCTAATTGCTACCATCAAATTATATGGAAAGAGAGAACAAAGAGTTTAGTAATGGGAACACATAGAACCAAAGACACATTTCATCTTAAGATTTAGAAGTTTGCTATATTACATGATGTCAAGATAATGTTATTAAAAAAGAATAACAGATGATCTGGTAGTGCCGAGGGTGATAAACTCTGCAACTGCAATTCAAATGTTTTCAAACTGCTATCACTCCGTGTTCTTAATCACAAAGTGCAACTAGAAAAGCAAAGATACCTCTCCGTGTTCCAGGGGAACTAGTCTGGAATAATAGGAGGTGCAGATCACTTCATCGTCCCTCTTGTAAGTTGGCGGCCCAATTCTTGGTGTAATATTGTAACGAGTTAAACATTCAGTATCGCTAATTGCATAGTACTGCCATGGTCTGAACTCCGTGCCATCTATGGAGCGTTCCAAAATCCAGTTTCCAGGTCGTGGAGCATTAGCAGCTTTGATGATGACATATGCAACTTGAAAGACCTGAAAAAAAATGCAAGAAGAAAATTTTAACACTTCATTGTACTGTGAAACACCACCAGAAGCCAACTGGGTAATAAATATAAATTTTCAAAGCAGTATAGCGTTCGCCTGGGCAGAGGGTAAAATTTGGTAAAGTAACTCTGGATAAATTTTTTGCACAAATGTTCGACTAGAGGTCCATCTAATTGTGTCCAGGGCATCAGTTTGTGTTGATGCAGTAGCTGAAATCTATATCTATATTGCACATTTCAGGATTAGTTGGGATAACAATCTGTGGGAAATGTTTAGCTTTTCTGAACCCCTGAGAGCTTAAAAAAACTGGGGTTTGGTTGGGGTTTAAGTTAGTTTTTTTGTGTTTGGTTGTTTTGTTTTGGTTTTTGTGGGTTTTTTTATAGATGTAGCCCAAAAAGTTCTTTGGTTTACAACTTAGCAGGGAATGTAATCTTATCTGTAAGAACATTTCTGATAAACTTATTACACCCTATCTTAAAAACCTCTTTGCATTACAATTTCATCCTTTGTTGAAGTTATTTCAGCAGAAGACTACTTACAGGCACTGCTAAAAATACACAGAGACAAATAAGCTAAATGTGGCAAAAATAAGCATGATAAAATAGCTAATAGTCTTAAGTAGCATTGAGATGAATGTGAACTACACAGCTGTCTTGACTATTTTTCGAACAACCCAAAGCAAAATCCCCATGCACATCACAGGACTGTTCAGCCCTTCTGCAAGGAGGCAGGGCAGTAATTAAGTTCATATCACCTTTTCAACTCCCTTGTCATGCAGCCAGATAACCTGCACTGGCCCCCAAGCTCGCTACAGCATCCGACATGGAAACTGAAGGGCACTTACTGCAAAGCCACCGTGCTCTCCCTTACCCAGTACCTGCTACATCACCTCACTCAAAAAGGCTGCATTTGCAAACTCATAAGACTTCTATATAGGACTTTAATGTTTCATATACACTGGAGTAACAAGTCACATTTAGATGAAAGAAAAACTCTATTATTCAGCCATCTCAGAGAAATATATTTCCACTTGAGCAGACTGCCTGGTCGGCCGCTATTATCATCATAATTCCTGCCTGCATGTGCAGTATTAATGTTGTGTTGAGCTCCAATCTGGCTGCAATCAGTTCTTTCAGACATTATAAATTTAAATTTTTAGGACTTTTTTTTTTTGCAGTACAGATTAAAGCCAGGGCAAGAACAATACTTGCCACATGAAAGCGGGTTTTGATTTTGCCAAATGGGGAAATAAACTCACAAAAATAAATAGTAACTGTGTTGTGTATGCAATTCAGGAAACTACTTTTGAAACAAAACATTATTTAAGTGAACAAAGCTTTTATTAGGAGATCTAGCACACACGAGAAGGAAAAAAAATTGGTGATATTTTTATCTTCCATTGATTCACTACATATAATATCTTTTAAAAAGTAAAACAATCTTACTTTTTTAAAATCAGACAATTTAAACTACAATGTTCGTTTGATTTGACTTTTTTTACAGGCACTCCAGTTTTATCCAATTAAAATCAGTCAGATACAAAGAGAACATTTCTAGTTGTTGCAATGAATACAAAAATTTACAGAAAATTAGGATTTTACTGTGACCTTTCAGCAATGCAAGCAGATGCAGGCAAAAGGAGAAGCCAGCTTACTCTTTAGTGAGTCTTAGAAATAAAATTTCTCTGGGGTCTGTGAATCCTCTGTTGTTTCACATAATCTTAAAATTCACTCAAAGTTAAATGAATAGCAAGAATTATAATCCAGCTTCCATGAAGAGAGAAGTGCCTTTTAAATAAAACCTACATCATGCCAACAATCTCCAACTGAAATATAAAAGCCAAAATACATGGTTTTAAAGGAACAAAGTACACCATCTGGGCAAACAACTATATTCCCTACACACAACCTGGATTTCATTAATTCAGTTAGTGGTATTGAGTTTTGCACTCAGTTATGACCAAGCAGAATCTGGTGTATCATCATTTCAGTACCCAAAACCTGAAGACACTTGTATGTGACAGGAGTTGCTTCTATGGGTATTTTCTCCATCACACATGAGAACACCACAAAACTATTAAAACTAGAGGAGTTTTATCTACTGGGCTTAGAAGCAGCTATGCACTTCCAAGTTCCTTTGAAGTCAGTAATCTTTCTCAAATGCATAAAAGATGCAAGACTGGAACCCAAACCTTCTTTCAAATACCCTGGTAAAAAAACTCCCTCAAAAACTCTCATATGTCCTTTATTTATTTTTTTTCCACTCTGCTTGCTGTCATCAACTAAACTGCTTCCCTACTTATTACACAGTTGGCTGAACAACAAATGATCTGCTTTTGATTACTTTGAGATTTTTCAAGACCCATTATAGTCTGCAGCTGATGTGGCTAGTTTTAAATCCAGTTCCAACTAGTAACAATGAGCTATCCTTCATCACAAATTAACTGCTGCAGTAAAAGGTATTCACAAGATTATGCAAGTTAAACTTAATTTAAATATCAAGTTTCTTGGTGTGGGGGGAGTGGAGGGAAAAGTCAGTTAAATATTAACATTTTCACAGCAACTGTGTACAAATTCAACGTACATTTCAATAAATTAAATCTCCTCTCAACTCTTCCATTTACACACATAGCTCACAGGTATCCCATTTTACTTCGTAATCAAATTCACAGGATAATGAATAACAACAATTTCAGGAAAATTTGTCAGCCCCTGAAATAATATAGGTTAAATAAATGATTATGTATAAATGTTCTCAGACTCAAGAAGTCACAAGACAGACTACCAGGAGGAGCTTTATTCTCAGTAATTATGTTTCCCAGCAAGGGAATGAAGCTGCAGGAAGGGACCAAGGTGTCCACAGTGTTCACAGATGAAGATGTTTTAAGGAATATCTGTAGGTAGGGGTTTTTCAGATCTTCTATCCCACAGACTCTGCAACCCATAATAGGTCAAGAAGTCCATGTAATGAAAACTGAACTTCCTTTGAGCACTTTTTTAAAGAATTTGACTCTTATAAATTCTTCAAGTTTGAGCATCAAAGGCAGTTTCTTATCACTCTCCATGTTCATTCAGTGCCCACCAACCAGCCATGTGATAAACCAGAGCAAGAGCTAATGATTTGTATACTTTAATTTGACTGTATAAGTTTCTCAGAACTAATTGCCTTATTGAACTGCAAGGGTAAAAAGGGCAATTCAGAGCAAGTTAGCAATTCCCAAGCCATATATTAAAAGTGCCATTTTACAGGCATTTCAATCCTGATTTTTAAGATCAGCCAAATAAGCTTGTACTAAAGAACCTCTTTTTCATAGCTGCAATGCCAACAAAACGAGAAATTTCTGCTTAATTAGACTTTCTAAAAATCTTTTTTCCCTGAATGCAGATCCAGCAACACCAAGTGCATCATTCTTGAATACTCTCAAAGAATGGAAGACTAGATGAAGGGATGTTTATCAGCTTATATTGTTTACAGAAATATCTTTCTAAGAGCTAAAGACAGCTTCATCCTCTTAGACACTGTGAAGCCTAGCCATTGTTTGCAACATTTTTCTCTGACGATTCTGAGACATTAAAAGTGCAAAATACACTAAATCCAGAAAAATTTTTAATCTCATCCTCACATATAATTATCTTTTCGTCAAGATTTTGATTCATTATGTGCAAACATTAATTTGGAATTGAAGGGAAATTCATTTTACTCAGAATTTTATTGTAAGAATGTACAGATGAACACCCTGAATCATCAGTTTTACAAAGCTACAAAAGGCTTTTAAGGAAGCTTGCCACAAACAATAAATCAGCATAAATCATTAAAATTAACAGAATACCATTTTTTGACATCAGCAAACCATGTATCTTTGCCAGTTTGCCAACCATCAGAAACCTGTTCTTGCCAGTTGATTTCAAGAAGAAAGCTCTGGAAAAATCATATTATAATATTTACATTCTTTTTTACTTTGTAATAGCAGAAACTACAAATTCTCCTACATCAGCCTCTGAGTGATAATCCGGTATGCATAGAATATTCATAAGCTATGATTTAATCAGAAGTGGAGCTGTTTTCTCAATTCAACTTAATACTATGAGTCTTCCAAGAAGAACTAGTCTTGCTTTGCAATTCAAGAACTTTTTGATATACAAACTTCTGCCTATTTCTACACCAAGGATACAGAGCACATTTGAATACCTTTAAAAGTCTGAAGCATGGTAATAAAACTGAGGTAAGTAGTCTTTGTTTAATGGTGTCACAGAGTAATATTTTACAGCTGGCTCAATCACACCAGTAAAATGTATCATAGCCAGGATTTATTAGAATTGTAATTTCACAGTGCAACTGCCCAGAGGAGTCAAACTCAGACAAAAAAAGCTGTTTTTATAGAAAATCACTGCTGTGTGTTTTGTTTCTGTAGAACTACCAGTGTAGGTAGCACAAGGTCATAAATCAAAGCTTAGTGTCCTGCACATCGATCCTACACCTCATTGCTACACTGCTCTTTCCCCAGTTCTGGATCATTGCCATACATTTAATGGAAAGGGGGAAGAGGAGGAGGCAGTACTAGGGTATGGGAAGGAAAGGCTATCATACATGTGGATTCTGGAAAGACTGTAAGTAACACTAGGATAAATGTACCTAGTTGTCATGATGTATATGAGCTAGAAAATCATAACATAAGCACTCACTATCCTTATAAAATTCTATATTACCTACAATAGCACAGATTCTGCAAAGGAGATAAAAACCAATTTCAAAAGCAGCAATTTCAATGCTGCTTTTATTAGCTAGCCTTCTTTTCTTACTGAGATCCCATCAAACTACTCTGTAGTACAGCTGGTTTTAGACTAAATAGACTAAGAACAAGGTAGAATATCAGCTAAAAGAATATCCTCTATTCCCTTCAACTTGAAGTCAAGAGATGAATAGTCACAAAGGTTCACCTAGGAAAATTGGGGTGGAGTCAGTGTTCACCAGCTATGAGAATCTTACCCATATTTGCTAGCCAAGGGTATATTTCAGCACTTACCAACCCAATTGCTTAGATTACATCTCTAAACTGTGTCTTGGTAATAATCCCAAGAAACAATCAATTCCTCTTAGTCCTAGAACTTCTGACAATTGCACAAAAAAACCACCCATAAATAATGACCAGATTTTTAACATCACAAAAAGGTGTGAATATATTCTATACTCTGGCAAGGAAAGTTGATGAACTTGTTTACTTTAATGTGGTACTTGATAGATTTAATGCACAATGCTTGAAATGAAAAAGAACAGTATTAATTATCAAATTATACTGAACACTGGTACGGACTTTCAGGAATATTTTTACAGGTCCTATTTTAAGTAAATCTGAAACAAATCTATGAAGTAAACAATTGCTAAAATCACTAAGGTCCTTCATATGCTTTTCTTTTGTGTTTTTTTTAACTTGTGCTGACTCGTTTCAAGTAAGCACACCAAGTCAGCTCTAATAACTCACTGACTTCAAGCAATCTCTATTAACCAAATCCTTTCTCACAGAGCAGTAATTTACATTCAGTTTGCATAGCCCTAGATGCCTTCTCTCTCTCAAACTCTCTAGGGAAAACAGAAGAAAGGCCCCTTAGGGGAAACTTTTCAAATCGAATTAGTGAAACTGAGCATGGGTCAGGAGAGGAAAGATATGTATTTGTTGAAACACCAACAGCACTAGGACTGAAGAACAAATGATTCAGAGGGCAGCTCAGCTGGTCTGTTTCCAAAGTGAAATTGTTCTAGGAGGATAAAAACTAAGGCATCCCCTCCTGCTTCATTTTTCCTTCCTGTTTGTCCATTTACAAACCAAACACAAAGTTAACTCTTCAAACAACACTAACATCCTATCCAAACCTTCTGTCACTGACAAAAGACACCCTGTCATCATTATCCTAACAGTTCTGCTTTCTAATTAAAGATCAAACTAGGCACCCGCTTAATCTATGCTTTATTGGAAAACATCAAAGTTAAACCCTCTGTTTTAATCTTTAAAATAACATTTAAGCAGGGTCTAGAGATCCTGCAAAAGCTTCTTACCAATTCTACACCTCAAGTATGCATTTCTTAGTAAGTAATAAAGCTGCTTCTTCCAGAGTTTGGAGGCATCCCCATACTAATAATCAATTGATTGAAAATATTTTTTTTTCAAACAACTTAGGTAGGCCAGCACATAGATCTGTTCAAAGCAAAGCAACAAGAAAAAGCCAAGAAAAATTAATTTCTTCACCAATTACTTTGTATATTCTTGGAGCAGGGTAGGAGACTTCCGATTCTCGTGTCTAGCGCACAAACTTATAAATTAGCAAATGCCCTGTACAGTTTAGCATGCTCCTGTCTAAGAATGATAAATCCCTCCAAGTTTGGCCACACAGAGTGGCCAAAACAGAGGAAACAACTTTTGCCCAGACAGTTCCAGACTCCCTGGAGTCACAAATCACTGTTTCAGAAATTCAAACCCCAGCTCTGCAGAACAGCAGTCAGCAAAAGTTCCTAGAAGATATAGCTTAGAACATGTTTTTCCAGTGCTCCTTCCAACATGATGATGATCAGAATCAGTCAGATGCATCCTCACATATAAAACACGTGCTTTGGCCAATACCCTGAAAATAGTCCTGTTTAAAAATAAGTCTTTGAAAACACAGACTTCAAGTAACTTTTAAGAAATAAAAGGTGGAGGAAAACATATCGTAGGACTGCTGGGGAAAAGACAGAAGCATGAGGAAAAGACAGAGGGTTAGGCAGAGGAAAGTTACCAAGACAAAGGAATTGGTACAGATGGAATTGGTTACCAAGACAGAAAGAACATGGATGATAATTTTTACTAAAAACTTTTTTGTATTATCTAAACACAGAAGAGGTGCAATCAATTTGTATTGGCTTGTATCTTACATTCATTTAATGACACTCACATAAATGTTACTCACCTGCCTTAAATCCAAGGTGATGGTGACCCAGTGGTATTGCCTTCCATTCTGAATGCTGGGACTCTGCCACCAGTTATTGGTACCATCGATTGCACTGGAAATTGGGTGCTGTTCTGTTTCAAAGCAAAAAAATTAAACGTCTCTTGAAAATAAATCTCACTGAACTTTTCTGACCCAGCACATTTGTTTCACACAAAGAACAATCTCTTCCTGTCATAAAGAAGTAAAAGCTGAAATCTGCCCTCAGACAAAAAGGTTGTCACTGGATCTTGCAGTGCTCAGTGGTGATACATGGTGCTCACACTTTGTCAGCCTTTTGCTCCAAGGTAATCGCACTCACATAGTAGACACACTAAAATCAAAACGTATTTGATTTCAATATACTGTATTCAAGGGGAAGGGTTAAAAAAAGACACAAATTCATGAAACAAACAAAATCCAAAACATATGAAGCTTACCTTTGGGATTGGCACTGTGACTGTCACAGACGCGGCACTGGGCATTGCGCAGGGGCCGGCCGGGAACGTGCTCCACCAGTTTGCAGAACATCTCTGGTCCCTTCTCCCCACAGGTGGCATTGGTGGAGATGTGAGCATTGCTGGCCAGGTTCAAAATGGCAGGAAACAGGCCTTGAAAGAAATAATGTTTATCAGCACATTGTAAGACATGCAAAGTTGGCACCCTGACAGCAGTATCCCTGTTATTTCACTCTGTGTTTGGATGTTTCATGCTGAGGAACACAAGAGTTTGCAAACCAACTCTCCCAGTTACTAAACCTTCCCTTGTCTAGTGAATTGATCAAACCCTGGGGGACAACTGGCCCACTGCCAGAATCAAAGAGGGATTATAGAGCACACACTCAGCTGGTGTGGAAATCGGCATTTTGCACAAGCTCTTTGCAGCAGGAACACCACTGGCCTGAACAGGACACTCCAGACTTGAAAGATTTAAGGACTGAACTTTAGACCTTTGCTACAGGCCTCTTCTCCAGTCTCTGTAAAGTCTAAGGGATATTTTGCTTGCCACTTATTAATCTTTATACAAACACTTCAGTGTTCTTTCAAATATTTTTCTCTTGTGCATAGGAATAATGTAACAACAGAGTAAGTTTCAAAATTACAACTACCAGACCAGGAATCCTTCATTTTTTCTAAAAGGAGTAAAGTTTTACTTTGATTTGAAGGCTACTGATAAAATTTCTAGAATACTATATGTGACAGAAGTTAAGCACAGTTCCTCAATCAGCTTCCAGCTGTCCCTCATGAGCTAAAAAGCTTTTCTTTCTTGCATGGTTATGGTGCAATAAAGATACTCCATTTCCACTCATAAATAACTCTGAAAAAGAAGCAATTTTGGAAAGAGGAGTCCTGTCTTTAGAGATTAAACACAGTGGGCTAAAATCAAAGCTAGAGGGGTTATGGAGTCTCTCTATGGAGGCATTCCAAACCCACCTGAACAAATTCCTGTGTAATCTGCTCAGCGTGACCCTGCCTTGGCAGTGTCATTGGACTACGTGACCTCCAGAAGCCCCTTCCAACCCTAACAATTCTGTGGTTTAACAAGGCTACATTCAATATTCCTAATAAGTGTCTTTGCCCAGTAATTGTATTACCCTAGAAAGCCTGGAGAAAAGTTTCAGTGTTATTTAAGAATTGCCTTCAGGTATTGAAAATTTGGCTAAATCCTAACCCTCTGCACCACTGTATGAATAACAAACAGTGTGTTTTCAATTGTGCTATACTTGAAATTTAATAGGAGGGAGATTGAGCTTTTTATTTTCTTTTTTTTAATCCTGACTTCATTTATGTTGAATCCAGACTAGGTCGGATGCCTTGTTCTGATTACACCCAAATCTGATGCAGATGAGGATGCACATCCAAATGACTGCTCCAGTGAGGCTCTTCTGCCAGTAAGATATTTTCTGCACAGACTTCTCTCACTTTGTACAGCATGTGTGCAGTGCATCTCCAGATGTAAAGCTAGAGACAAAGAAGAACTGCTGCCTCTGTTTTCCTACTCAACAAGAAAGCTCAGTGGTGGAAGAGGGTACCTTTTTTAACACTGCTCTCCGATGATATAAAATCTTTCTTATTCAGTATTAATTGCTGTTCATGCAGAGGTGTATCAGCCTGTCTTCAAGAGCTATCCATTACTTCCCCAGTCACCCATTACCTTCCCGCACATTATACAGTAGTCCTGCCATTTCTTTCCATGTGCTACAGTGAAATAATTTGCCTCCATCAACCTTCAGTCAACAGACTTGTGCCAAAAGAATAGCAATGCTATCTCATGATGAGTTTTCTGGGTCCCACAGACATTAAAAAAGAGCACTTCAATCCAAGTGAGTTGCACTGGAGTCTTGCCCCAGGATGCAAATAAAAAGCAGGAGGTTGTTAGCATTGTCCTGCAAGGTACTGCATCTCTTCAAATCCTAGTTGACTATCTTCACCTCTGAATCTCTTTACCACAATTATATTTTAAGGTAAACTGCAGAGCTGCAGCCGCTGATTTCAGGGAAGATCAAGAATAGCGTCCAAGATGTTTTATTAGGAAACAGTAAGTATCTGCTACAAATGAAATTGAAAAAAAGGCAGATTTCAAATAAATGAGTTGCATCTTCAAAGAACATTGTTCCTCTTTATTCTTTTATTAAGGAGAACCAGGTACTCAGAATTAAGAATTCAAAAGTACTTAGGTGCTGCTCTGCCAACCCCTCTTCTTCACTTCTCCACCCTCCCCCCGCCCCCAAAAAACAGAAAACCAAACATCTGCTAAGATATTTTTATGCCTTGTAGGAAGCAGTAGATATGATAAAGATGATCAACCACAGAATCAGTCACTTAAACGAGCCATTTACAGATAAACAGGTGACTGTCATCATATCTTAGTGTGAAATGCAAGTGGCCATAACTGACATGAAACTCCATCAGAAGATAACATATTTCATTAAACTGAAACTTTAGCAAATAATATTTGCATTTTTAAGAAAGGACCTCTGAGATCATGAACTCCAACCTCTGATTACCACATCATCAACTAGACCATGGCACCAAGCGCCACACAGTCATTTCTTGAATACCTCCAGGGACAGTGACTCCACCACTTCCCTGGGCAGTCCATTTCCCATGTTTAACAACTATTCCCATGAAGACATTCTGATCCTGAGGTCAAACCTGAATCTCCCCAGGCACAGCTTAAATCTATGTCCTTTCATCCTATTACTTGTTGTGCGGGAGTATAGGCTGGCCCTCGCCTGGCTATACCCTCCTTTTCAGGTAGTTACAGTTCGTGATAAAGCCTCTCCTGAGCCTTCTTTCCTCCAGGCTAAACAACCCCAGCCCTCTAAGTCCCTTCTCACAGGACTTACCCTCTAGACCCTTCATCCATTTAACTTTCACAGTTTTCTATCTAAAGTACAGCACAAATGATAGATTAAATTGGATTTATTATATTATTCCCACTAGAAAGGAAGGCAAGTGCTCCCTGAAAAACCATGGGAATTACTGCTCAGCATTTTGCAAGAGACTATGGTGGTCCTGAGAAAAACCGGAAGAATTTTTAAACTAAACTCATTTACTTCTAACTGCTGGTCAGCTCTTTTCATGCTAAGGCAAACTCTTTCATTATTTTCCAGCTACTCAGATGCTCATTTGCCTCAAACCAGAGATTTGCACACACACCAATGCCAGAAAATGAAGTGTATAGATGTTAATTTGACCTTGAGAAAGAATAACAACTGGTTCACTACTGCTCAGCACAAAAGCTAAGCATAATGTTTTCATTAGAAGTTCAAACAAGTTGCTCTCATTTATAAAGGGCTTGGTTTCAGCCAGATGCATTACTGAAACTCAGTAAGAGAACTGAAAATCCGAGTGGGTACTGTCAGAATTGTGTCATTCAGAGCTTTCCTAGAGAGACAAAACACCTCAAGCTCAGAGGAAATGGTGGGAACTACATTCCTAGTAAGGTGACCTGCAATGTGGATAGTGCAGAATTTGTCACATCCACCCTCTACACTGTTCAATCCTTCAGGAAATGACAAGAAGTAATTCAGAGGGTAGATGCATTTTGTGTTGTACGTACAGCTCAGCAGGCAGACCTTATGGTGAAGGACATGGCACTAGTGTTCTGCCAAAACTCAGGAAAAAGGCTTGTTCATAATGAAGCCAGTTGTAACATTTTCAAATGATGAACAGTTGATGATGGTCAGCATGCAGTGTGCCAGGGGAAAAGAAGACAGGAAAAAAGCTTTAAGGTGGACAAGACAATTTCTATTTTATGTGCTTCAATATTCAGAGCCTATTGACTCTGATTCCTCAAATTAACAGGGACAGGTGGAGCATACAGCTTATTGGAGCAGATTCAAAGTACTGATAACTCATGCAGGCCATCATGGATTGCTTAAGTAAAAGACATCTCTAGCCAGGACAGCTATCTTTCTATTGTAAAGTTAATGGTCGAGCATACAGCCTACATTTCTTTGGGAATTATTCTATTTTAAACCAGAAGTTCTCACAAGCTTGTTGTTGCTGATGTAAATATCATCATATTTCCTGGGTAATTCTTTGTGGGTTTGTAAGCTTTAACTTTGTTACATATACAGACTACCAAGCACCTGAAGTTCTCACCAAGAAGAATTTCAAGAATTTGGGACATTTGCAGGATTCTGGTAACTCTAACAGCTCAATGCATATCTGTTGCTTCATTCTGGATACACCTGATTTATTGCACACAAGCAGATCACAGCAATTATAATCATTCCATAGTACTGTGCAATGAGTCTGACATATCTGGACTTACTGAGCATTTTGTCCAGCTCAGATATCCTGTCCACGTAGAGCAGCATCACTGCAGTCTAACATTAGACTTACTCTCCATGCTGAGCCCACAGCACATATCCATCACTAAATGCAAATATGGAAATCATATGCATTTGTGAGCCATTTATCAAGGCTTTTTAGACAATTTTTTCCCCTTCCTTCTAAATTTTCTCAATATAGGACCCTTGGCTGCATTTTACACAGCTAGATCTGAACAAAACCCCAATTTCATTTTCTGATTAATGATCTTTTGCAATCAGAAAATTAATAGTATTTTGGGTAGAAGATAAGTGGATTTGTGCATTTTGGCAAAACACATGCATGAGCTGTGTTTTCAACCATGTTAAATCCTCACAGTGTGACAGACAGTGCAAAACTACTTTCTACAGATGGTACATGAAGGGAGACAGTCCCAAGAATAAAAATCTTCCCTGCAGAGGCATAGCTGATGAAAATAATTTCTTTTAAAAACAGCTGCACAAACAGAAGCATGCACATGAGAGTTCTACTCTACATGGGCTTCACTACACCATCAAATATATTCAACAAGCACAATAAAGACAATATATTTTGGTATCCACATCAACACAGTAAGGATGGCAAAACTCTTAGAGAAATGCCGCGTTTAAGACAGCTTCTTCCTGAATCCAGATTCACTGATCTGTCTGATATTTCCAGAAACCTAACTAAATTACGGAGGTGTTTGTTGGGGTTTTTTTTCAAAGACTAATGGGAAATGAATACAAAAGATTATATGAAGCAAGCCAAGAACTGAGTTCAGAAAGTTTTCTGGATTGTTCATCAGTGTA